GAAAGTTCTCTGATTGGTTTATACATATAACTATGTTGTCATAACATAATAATTATTCCATTCCATTGGTTTATACATAGCTAAAAAAAAAAAAATAGAGTCACGAGGCCTCATTGTTTCGAGTTCAATTCCGAGAAAAGCTATTTGCTCGAGCGTATGATCAGTTCTTAGTAGAAAACACATGGATATCAAAACGTTGCTTCGCAATCTTCGCGAGGAAGTTTCGTGCCCAGTGTGTACTAACGTGTACACCGATCCAAAGCACCTTCCATGTCTACACACGTTTTGTCTGCACTGCTTGAAACACTGGCACACAACAAGCCATGGCCGAGACACAATCAGATGCCCGAAGTGTCAAGCTATTAGCAGAGTGCCTGAAAGTGGCGATTTGAAAGATCTTCCCACCAGCTTTTATCTGAACGGCTTGATTGATGTGTTAGCAATTAAAGAGTGCAAAACCAGCCAAGTACGATGTGGAAATTGCGACAAGAAAAGCGCCGAGAGTTCCTATTGTTTTCACTGTTGCGTGTTTTGGTGTGACGAGTGCATCATTGGACACAACATCATTCGCAGCAATAAAGATCATCGTGTTCTGGCGCTCAAAGACTTTCAAGACAAGGACTATGAAGATGTGATGAAACGACCTGCTTTCTGTCCTAAGGAAGATCATAACAAAGAAGAGCTAAAGTACTTTTGCAAAGACTGTGAAACGCCACTTTGCCAAATATGTGTCACATTGGATCATGGAGGTCATAATATGAAGTTAATCAAAGAAGAAGCGGAGACACAAAAGACCGAAATCAGGTCTTTCATCGACATACAGCGACACAATTTACAAGCAAAGATGAATGCCGTGAGCCGACTTGATGGAGAATGTGCCACACTGATACAACAAGGCGAAGATGTGAAGAGAGAGATTCAAACATTTGTTGACAATTTAATTGCAGCCATTGAAGCAAACAAGAAAAACATATTCGCAGAGGTGGAAAAAGAAACAAACAAGTCGATTGAAAGCATAATAAGGCGAAAGACCGAGATCGAGCGTCAAATGACGGCCATAAAATCATCTCTGGAGAAGGCTGACAAACTTTTCACCCGAAGTACAAACGCTGAAATCGTTCAACTCAAGAAATCATCAGACACCATCTTTGAAGGAGTTCATCAAATCGAGCCAACCGACTGTGACCCCGAACTTGTGGCTCATTTTGTCTTCGTGGAAAATTATAAGTTATTCAACACTGTCAAAACCGAACAAATTGGAACTTTGAAAAAACCAACAAAAGCAGGTCATTGTGATATTGAAGGCAAAGGACTGGAGGAAGGAATTGCTCTCCGTGAAGCTCACTTTACCTTGACAACAAAGGACACCGAAGGAAGACAGTGTTACAATGAACGTGACCATGTAACGGTGGAGATCAGGGACGAACAAGGACGAGAATGCACGTCAGAAATACAAATAAATGACTGTAAAGATGGACTCTATCAAGTCAGATATTGTCCCAGAGATCCAGGAAAATGTCAAGTGACTGTAAAGGTAAACGGGGAACATGTCCGTGACAGTCCTTTTGCTGTGCAGGTAACACCATTTCAGTTTAAACCTGTACTTTCCTTCGGGAAAGAGGGCTCGTCTGAGGGAATGTTTAGGTATCCTTGGGGGGTAGCAGTAAATGCTAAGGATGAGATAGTTGTTACTGATAATTGCAACACGAGAGTCCAAATTTTTAACAGTGAAGGAAATTACTTAAGATCGTTTGGTCGGCCTGGTACCAAAGAAGGAGAATTTCAATCTCCTATCGGAATAACATATCATAATAATGGGAATATTTTCGTGGCAGACTATGGGAACAGTAGAATCCAGATTTTCAAAGGGAAGGGTGAGTACGTGGGATCCTTTGGTGGGAGAGGAAGCCTTGATAGTCAGCTCAGTAGTCCCTATGGTTTATCGGTAGACAGTGATGGGAATATCATTGTCGCTGATTCAGGTAACAGGCTGATTAAGATATTTTCTCCTGATGGCAATTTTCTAACGAAGATAGGAGAGCAGGGATTTTTTACTTTTCCTGTCCATTGTATTCAATATGAAAGATATCTCATAGTGTCAGACGACGGTGAACATTGTATCAAAGTTTTTGACAGAAAAGGAAACTTTCAGTACAAGTTTGGAAAGAAGGGTGGAGGGGACGGGGAGTTAAATAGTCCCAGAGGTTTGTTGGTGAACAAATCAGGTCACTTGATGGTCTGTGACGAAAATAACCACAGAATACAAGTATTTGAGCTGAATGGAAAGTTTCTCGGCAAGTTTGGAATAAAGGGTGGCAATTTAGGAGAGTTCAATAATCCAACCTCTTTAGCAGTTCTCAGCAATGGCCAAATTGTTGTGTGTGACGCCTTGAACCATCGTATACAGATACTGGAATAAACTAGTTCACATTATTTTGTACTATTGCGCCGAACAAAAATCAATTAATTAATTTTGAGTTCAACCATCGAATGAAAAACTTTGGAGATTCTACTTATTCTCTGAATGACCTTCTTTGTTATTCTCAACCTTAACAAATAGTAATTATTCAGAGAGTAACTAGGTTTAGCCAAGATAAGACTTTTCGTGATTTACAGGGAGGGAAGTGGACTAAAATATTAAAATTCGTTTTCTTTTACACCAGAAAATCTGCAGTAATTTAACGACAAAAATAGGACTTAGACTATATATTAATTACACGACGAGCGCAGTGGTCCGGAAACATTCATTCAATCAGTAGCATATTATATCAAACAGATAGGGGGGGAGGTGAACATATACATTTCAAGTGTAACTGATATTACACAGTTCCCTGTAAAAGATCATGCTGTTATTAGAAGTAAGTTTTAGGGAGAGTTAAGCCCACTTTGTGCTTCTTTTTTGTTCGTAACTCACTTGGTTGGGAAAGGAAAAATCAAAGTACTGCAGAAGACAGTTTTCATTACTGCTTTGTCTTAAGCTAAGGGGAATGTGTCCTTAACTTTTCTGTAAGGAAACAAAGGCTTTTTTGTAAATCATTGGCGAGGCCTGCAGATTCCAATAGCATGAAACATAATACAGTAATCAGAGTATGTTTATAAGTTTTGTAAGAAGTGTCTTTTTTGCACATTCCAATTGTAGTCAATAGAGTACAACCTCGCTTAATGTAAGATGTTCCACTACTTTTTCATGAGATAAGTTGTCACCTTGGTATAGATTATCTACTTGATAGAGGTCAAATCCAACAAAACTTATTTCGACTCGCAATTGAGAACTTTCAACAAGTTATTGTATATGATTCATTGAACTATTTCGTATATATTTTCATAACACTTGATGTAACATCTTTTCGAGTCTTTATGTATTATTAAAGAAGTTATGAGTTACGTCAGATCTAATTTGATGACTTGAATTTAAGATAGTGATTAACAATCTAAGGTTACTGTCAACAAAATAGGGTACGTTCCGGAAAAATCGTCCTAAGCGCGCAACTATAAAAGAAACCACGGAAAGCTATATAACACTATAAAGCTTATACAGTACAGATTCTGAGAATAACTAGGTTTTTTCTACTTTTTTATTTTTTTAGGCGCGCGAGAGCCTTTAAACAAAAAACTTACGGTATTTACTTTACTGAATTACCAGTCTCCACGTTACCGCCGACCTCCAAAAAAACTGGACATTATCATTCAGCAGATAATGGGCTAACAAATGGTTTGAGGCTTTTTCGTTGTCCCTAATGGTTCCTTAGAAGATCTATTTTGAAGTTGGAAAATATTTCGGTTGTTTTCACGCTCCAGGACGTCACGAAAGACTGAATATTTCGAATTTCATAAAAGCCTCATACCCTTAAGAGCGTGGGCAATTTTCATGAAAATCGTACAAATCTACACATCCCATAAATTGGTTTAAGAAGAGGTTACTCTTTAAAAAACAAACCTCGAGTATTTGGCCTCTAAAGAAATTCGCAGTTTTCGCACCTCATTTAGGTGCATGCCCATGCAGTCGTGCCGCCGACCAATAAAACGCAACATCGAACCCTTGCCAAGTCTCGTGGAGAAGAACTCCCTTCCAATTCGCGGGAAGGTTCTTTCGACTAAAGAAAAAAAAAACGAGTTTACTAAAAATTAAACGAAATCCCAAAATTCAACGGGAAGAACATAAGGAAAAGAGGGCAATGCAAGCTAGGGAAAAGAAAACATCAACACTCAGGTAGAGGCCTTTTGTTCCTCGCTACAGATTCTCTTAAATCATTTCAGAGTAGAGAAAATGTCGGGACCTTATATATCCATTTAGATCACTGATCACTTCACGTACACCTCTGCCAATGTCATCTACTGTATAACTGGCACTTATTGCAAAAAGTTATACATTGGTGAAACAGGATGACGACCAGGTGACTGATTCCGAGAACCCCATCGCGACGTAGAAAGAAATGACAAGGACACATCCAAACCAGTCGCTAGACACTTTAATCTCCCTTACCTCTCTAAGAAGCATATGGCAGTTTGCGGCCTTTCCCTACAATTCGCAAACTCCAGAACAAAAATTTATCTTTCAAATCGGCACTTTTAATCTCCACGGCATCAAAGAGCGCTTTTCATTCAAGTAATTTATTCTTGAATAAAGGAGGTGAGTTTCTAAAGAAACTGTGCTGCTGCGTCGGTGGAAGAGTGTAGCATGTAATTTAGTGTTAACAACTGAGTTGAAAACGTAAATTGGCCACCGTAAAGAGTTAAAAGGCTGACGTTTCGAGCGTTAGCCCTTCGTCAGAGCGATTGGAATTTATTCTTGTTTTCTCGTCATCATACTCCCACCAATGGCGTAGCTCTATTTTCTGCATATAAAAACACACAACCTACAATTCCTCCAATCGTTCTGACGAAGCGCAAACACCCGAAACGTCAGCTTTTAAACTCTTTACGGTGGCCAATTTACGTTAATAAATTACCCTGTTCTTAAGAAACAGATCAGGCTAAAAGTAGGAGCTTTGTTTTATTCTGTGGTGTGTGATTCACTGCATTAAAACGGGCTTTTACTAAGCAGCTCCATTTCCTAAATTCCAAGTTATAAATTTGCGCCAAACGCGGTAGTAACATTTTTTATTTCCGCTCAATAAGATACCCCTTTCTGCTCTTTAATCATAAAAATTGTGTTTCGTTATCTCTTAATTTATTAACACACCTGTCTGATGACAAGTCTAACATTGACAAAATGTCACATTAAGAAAAAAAAAAGTAAAATTAATAAAGGCTGCCCAAATATACATAGAAACCACTAGAATAACAAACATTACCCCATCAGTTTCAACATTTTTTTCAATATGCGCGTATCATTTTCGTTATCTCTGTTTTAATAAGAAAATGTCAATCTTCCTCTCCATTCATCATTTCTACAAATAATTTACAATTTCATTAAATTCTATACAAACTTTTCGTTACATAAATTATAGATTCAATTACAAACACCGTCAATAAGGGAACATGTAGCCCCCTTCCCCTGAAGTATGCAAGTATATTTGTCTAAGAATGATCGTCTGTGGCAAAAAGCGTTCGTATCTTGATCTGCTGTATCCTCTAATCCCAGAACGTATCCCAGCAATTGCAGGTACAGTTAGAAGCGACTGTAAGAGGGATTTGTGTAAAATGGATGCCGTCCAATCAGTTCCCAGCATCTCGAGCAACAGCAAAGAAGTCCCTTATTCAGAACCGGACTATTTCTCAACTAAGAACCATAATAAAGCACCTATGGGAGGCTTCCGTGAATCATGCACCAAAGTAAAATGAGGACAACATGGCGGTATCTTAAACGTGTTCACTTCCAAGCACGGTCCATTATTTTGAAATCACCACTAAAGTATTTGAACAAGGCTTTGATGAGAGGTACACGTCTACAATGGCCCCTTAGTCAAGGTCACTTCCAAGCCCTGTCCATTTATCAGGGACCATAAGAAAGTATCTGTGCATGGCCTCAGTGAATCGTGTCCTGTACAACTCCGGGGACACTACTGTAGGCATTCTTCCTTGGCCTCCAAGAATGCCGCTGGCTTTTACGTACATCTCCAACTTCTTATCCCAAGTGAATGTTCGAATAAAATCTACAGAACAGAAAAGTGCATGAAAAAGATCTCCATTTTCACGCACAACTTGTCGTGCATGTTACGTGAGCATTATGTAAAGAAAAGCTGAGTCGAACGGAATTCCATCAATTGTATCGAATTGACTGAGAAGCCGAACTTCGCGTAGACCTGATTTACAGAATTAGATAAGGCTTAAGTGGAGTACGGCGTCTGCACCGGGCCTAAGCAGAGCTGTTAATAAGAGTCTGCAGTCGACCAATACTGCCGGCTAGTCTGCCATTTTGAACCGGCTACTTTCATGTCATTTAACTAGGATTGCCGAAGAAAAATCGTACAATTGAAATGCTATCGAAGAAAATTGTACAGCAGCCATTACGCAGTTTTGAGTGGGATTAGATACAAAATTTACCAAATGTGTGAACAGGGTCCACGTTCCGAATTCTTTCGAGGGTTGCGTGTAAGCTTCGTGGAGCGCTTTGGACATTTTAAATGAATAGTTCTCCGTCTTACTCGAAATCTGAAGAAAGTAAATGACGTTCACATTGGCCTTGCTTGTCTTCTACTTTCATACGTTTTGACAACCCTGCCTAATGCTGTCCCTTTTTACGAAGCTCTGCCTGACTCACCTATGATTCCGGTGACCAGTTCAGACCGGGCTTCGTCTATGCCTACCAACAGTGAATAATCCATCACCATCTGCTGAGCAAGGAACTCGGTGTCGTTGTGAATAGCACGTGAGAGAATGGCTTTGGAATGCGGGCGGATAAATATCGGGCACTCACGGATCACTGGAACAGAAAAAGGAGTTGAAATTAATTTCTGTATAATTAAACAGGGTGTTGTTTGTCAACGACTCGTGGAAAATCCCCAGCGACAAACAGAAATTCTGCAGATACCAGAAATGTTTCTAAGTGGAAAAGGCAGAACGCATGCGAAAAAAAAACGCGCGAAACAAACCGTTAGTAGTTAGCACGAGAAATATTCCTCCAGCGAGTAACCGCGGAGAAAGAGCGGGAAACATACCAATAAAGGTAGGCGCGGGAAGAATACAGTACTCTATCTGAGCCTAAAAGTCCAAATAAAAACTAACGTAATTTACAAGGGGTTATAACTAGTTAAACGGTAAATTTACCACAAAAACCCATAAAAAGAATCGATTCAGTCCTCTTTGACTCACTTTCAAGCAGGTTCTCGTCCAGTAATACATCGTTCTTCATCCCGGAAGTCTGAACGTACCGGCTTCTCATGGAACCTTTTAAATCGAAAGTCTGAAGAAATAAAGCATTAGGCGTCAAGTTTCAGATAGAAAACTTGAATTAATTCTTGCGACCAGTTAAGACTTAATGTCGCAAAAAGGCAACTTTGAAAGAGTTCGAGCTTAGAGATCTAAGGTCCCACCGAATTGTGGAAAATTTGCGCAAATAAAAAAAAAAAAGGAAAAGAAGAAAAAAGACCATTATTGTAAATTACATGTCGTAGATTTTTCTATTTTATTGGTAAGATACTCCAGTTTCATACCTTGTCGATTTTGCGGTCGTAAAACAAATTTTCCATAACAAGCACATCCTGTCTCATCGTAGCACCTGTCTGTGAGTTCTTGTAACCAATCCTGTATATCCCCAGGATCTTTGCCAACAAGGTCGGTCGCTATCAAGAAAACAAGAAAACAATATAAATCCATTTTCTGATGCTATGCGAAGGAAATTTACTACCAGAGTGCAAAGTATGAAGTGCAAGTAAAGTCATCGTGTTGGGTAACCCCATCATCGCTTTTTAAAGGCAGAGGTCTGCACATGAACAGAGTAACTCATTCTGCGAGAGCGCAGACTGGGCTCTATCGTAGTTTTACTCACCCCCCCCAGGATATGATGCTACTCAAGCACAATACCTCACCCCCCCTTCTTTCGGTATTTCGTTGGTACCCATCTACACCTCTGAGTAGAGAGAGGCATTGTGGGAGCAAATAATCTTCTCCATGGACATAATGTAGCGACTCCATTTAGGCCTCGAGTCCGGATCCCACAACGTTACCACTGCCCCACCACGTCCCCCTACCACAACGTTACCACTGCCCCACCACGTTCCCGTACCATACCTGTTCATCTAGAGCTTTATTGATGTAGCAGAAGTAGTGTGGTGCAAACTCCAGAAAACACTGCAACTCCAGTCTTGACATCTGCTTCATGACAAACCGGTCATCTGTAAAGTTATCGTTGACACATTACCGATGAATTCGCAATTGTGTGGAGAAGGATCTCAATTTTCTTTCTTTAAACCTTATTTTCGACTCATCTTCCTTAGTGCAATGTTGCACTTCGTTTTCTGTGTTTGAGCAAGGTTGAATGAGAGACGAGGGTTAGTGAAGCCAACGGCAGTTCAGATGCCAGATCTATTTCTTCTTGAAAAGCGGTCATTTTGTGAACGTTACAAATAAGCGTTAAAACATCGAATATCCGACTCGAAATAAATCGTCAGGAAATAAAAATAAAATCCAACGTGACCGCTGCGGATAGTCGGAAATATCTAATCTAAATTAGTAGATTTCTTTTTTCTGTGTATCCATTTAGTTTCTCACCGAATGACTTGAAAAAGGCAGATCCGGATTTTCCACCACGTGCTCCCCATGAAACTGAATGCTGCAGGGAACGGATGTACCTAGAGGATATAATGTGCAAAAAATTGTCTGCACTGGAATACCTTTCAGTTGCAAGGGAGGGGAGAATGTGGGTAATTTTCACCATACTCTAAGCTTCGATGATCGTCTAGCAATTTTGGCAAAAAAAAATGGCTGTAAGCAGGAAAATATCAACCAAAACCGTAACCCTTTACACCCTAATATTAGTATTCATATTCTCCACACTGATCTCTCCACATTTCCTGTGCTACTAACAAGGAGAATTTGTTTGACAATCTTTAGCTTCTTAAATTGGTGATCATTTCCATTATTCTCATGACCTTAACATTCAATTCAAGGGTGATACTGTAAGAAGAAATTAGACGCCAGTCCTTTTTAGGCGTTGGCTAATATCTTGCAGAATACACACAAAATATCGGCAATTTTACCAAGACAATTGCAATCGTGCAGCTCTCATACTTTGCACTCAAAGAAATTTGTCTTGCTACTTTGTTTAATAATAAAAACAAAAGGGCAGTTTCCTCCTGCGCAAGGTGCCACACGAATCAGCTTCAGCAATGGTGTAGGTATCAATGAGGTTAAGGAAATCCAAGCAAAAATACATCTATGTTATTAACTTACTTCTCCTCGCCGTCAGGAAAGATCCTCTTTCGCAGAGATCTGAATTGCTCCGCGTAATAGATACTGCAGTAAAATCGGCAAGTACTGTCAGCAAACTCTGAAATTAAAACAAAGATGAGCTTTCAGTATCCCCGATAAAGGCATACGTTTGTTCAGTCAAAAAAGTCTAAACCAAATAGTCTCGGGAAAACATCAGTGGAAAATATTGAAACAGTCACGCGACCTGCCCTCGCTTTCTTTTGCATGACCCGTCAAGTAAAGATAGCGTAACGCTCTCAAGCATTCATTTAAGCTCTGAAACAAGGCTCTCCCTGTAAAACAAACGTGCAAACAAACGAGCAAAACTTTCTTACGGTGCTTAACATGAAAATCCACAACTGGGTTAGCATCCTTCCTTTGAAAGCCAAACTGCAAGAGTCCTACCGAGAAAGACAAAAGATCACAAACATCAAATGAAACTAGAAAAACGTCACTATCGGTCAACTCTTCCTCAATTGTGTTTCCATTGCATTTCACGGGGAGGTTCTTAAGAGCAAATCTCGACGACTTAAGTAGTCCATATTCCTCTTTTTTAATCAATATTGTTCCCAGGCTTCTTCTTTTTCCCCCTTTTTCGAACAAGATACAGTCAGAGTATCTTCTTTCAGCTTCCTCGCCTTTGGAGAATATTTCTTGGCACCTAACTAACAAGCCTCTTCCCCCTCCCCAAGAACATCGAAATACTTTTATGGCACCCAGCCGTCTCACTCGTTGACGAAAAAAATAACTTGTTCATTCTTACCGATGTCATCTTGTGCCGGAATGTCTGGCGGCGCGTTATTCTCCACCTTCTTTGCGTCGTCCTTGGGACAAGGGGCGTTGTTCTTCCCTTTTGTAAACACAACTCTCTCCACTTTTCGGTGTTTAGCATGTTGGGTGGTCTGTGGCTCAGGCTCTGCGTGGAATTCTTGACTTTTGCTCATGAATTCTAACTTTTCTTTGGTAACAGAAGGCGTTTCCCCTTCTTCTCCCACTGCCAATCTCGTTTCGGGATTCACAATGTCTAAATGCACATAACCTGAGCGAAAGAGTGCTTTAGTTAGCGAAGCTGTGGGGCCTCAGACGTAGATCGAAACTGCTCTTACTGGTGTCTGCCTGCTTGTTGTCATCAGTCAAGTTAGGACAGTCTGAAGTCCAGATTAATGCATGTAAATGGGGAGATCCTCTCATCTGAAATGCTATACATAATGCATAATAAACTATTTTGCTAATTGGATTCGCTTTCCTAACTAACACTTCATTGAAAAATGTCTCCACTCTATATTGAAAGTGCTTAGCTACTATAACAGGATTTGTATTCAGAATTTGGCACCTTTCATTGTAAGACAATGCATCAAGTTCCTCATTTGTCATCTTTTTCCCTTGCATTTTGGCAATGATTTGGAACAGTTCTGGCCATCTAAGATCAGCACATGATAGCGTCATAAACCATGTTGGAATACCAAGTTGTTTCACCATAGCAACTACCTCATACATAAATTTTTGCCAGTAAGGTGGAGTACCTGGAATTTATCTCAAAAATAAATAAGCTTGGTCTTGAGAAATTAGATTTTGTAAGCCTAATTGAGCAGCAGTGACAGAATGACCAGGAACCTTTTTTAATGCAATATTGATACTGTCTGAAACTTTTTTCTGCTCAATTATAAATTGTGCAAAGAAAAGATACTCTGGGTTTCTAGCAAATTTTCCACTATAATGTAGGAGTCATGCATTAAAGTACTTTACTGGTGATAACATAATTTCATGTTCAGCTGTGTACCCATATCTTCCCTTAGGAAACAACACTGGGAAAGCTAGTTCTTCACATTGTTTATCAGTCATGAATGAAACAGGGTGTTTGTTCTCTCCTGGTGCAATGCTATAAATTTCATTTCCTGATGACTGCTCATTATTATTATCTACCATCACAGGATAGTTAGGGATAATGGATTGCAAGCATGTTTGATTGATTGGCATTCTATGCTCATTTAAAGGGTCTTCAATTTCTTCATTATTATCATTTAAGTCATTTAAGTCATTAATTTGATTTTGGAATGAAGATTTTTCCTGGTTTACTGGTATTGAATCTTCAGTGTCTTCTACACAATCATCTGTAACTGAATTGTTTGTAGAACCTGTTGCTTCATTTACTGTTATAGAATTATCTGTCTCATGCAGTACAGTCAGATTTGTATCAATATTATTAACATCAATTTGTATGTCTTTATACAATGTATTATTTGCCTTAAGCCATTGCAAGGCTTGTAAGACAAAGTGAGGCCTTACTGCTTGAAAGTATACATGACCTCTGAATTGTAACTTTCTTTTGAGTTTTAAAAGGATTATACCAGATCTCTCAGGAGGGCGTGTAAAAGACTACTTGTCTGATCACATTCAACCAGTACATTACAAATTGCACCTTTTACTTTCCTCTGTTGACCTTTGGGCATAACAATAATCTTTACAAATACTATTCTCTGAGCTATTAGTGTCTGCTCTAGTTTTTCAAGAGAGACAAGCTCAACTGGTGTATCATCAACATACTTGTTGTTTATCACAGCTTGACAAGGAACGTTACCTTGTTTAACTTTTGAGTTACATGTGTTACAAATATACTCCTTACCATCAAATGAAGTCTGAATGCTAAAATAGTGTTGATTGGAGTATTTAGTACTTAAGAAGTTTTTAACTGATTTCTTATACAGCATTCTGTTGCATACACAGCATACATAATAAGGACCTTCTCTGATTTTCTCTTTGAATTCTTTAATGCAGACATCAATAGTTGGGATTGTCTCACTCTCATGCTGTAGTCTAACTTTGTATCCTATTTTTTTTAGAACTTATCTGTTGCAGTCTTTTCTTTTTTGGAGCAGATTCCATGTTGTCATAATTACATTTTTTTCTGTGCTTTTCCATGATGTGTTTGATTTGATGAAGGTCCATGTTAGATGTGCAAGACAAAAATTGCATTTCATAGTGAACAATATCTGTTTTAAGTTTCTTTGTAACAATGTTAGCAATACCGTATTTACCCGTGTATAATGCGCACTTTTTTTCCCATAAAAACAAGCATCAAAACCGCGGTGCGTATTATACACGGATTCTATGATTCCATGTTGTCATCACATGACAGTACTGTGTATTACTTTGATTTTTATTCTGTTGTTTCAGTCCATGTGAGATGTTTTTGATTTGATGAACCAGCAGTACTGTTAGAAATGTTTATGAAATGACAATAATTCATGTGAATTTAGGTATATTAATAAGGACTTCAAGACGTTTGACTGTTACTGTTTGTTGAATAATATTTGTAGTAGCAACTAGTTAGAAATACAGTTTCTTTGTTAATTAAGTGAAAAAATGGAAGTTTTAATTCTTGGTAACAAAAAATTAGAACATAGTTGTATGAATGGTGGTATACTACTTATTTTTATTTGTTGTATTGCAGGTTCACAAGTATCTTCATAGGTCAATAAGGAGAACATGTACTTTGCTCTGACTGTTTGTTGAAAAATACAAGTAATACAGTAACTTGCAAGCCACAATAAGAACCCTGTATTTCCACTTTAGTTGTTGAAAATTAAGTTTTCCAACTTGTTTTTTTGTATTGTTCAAACTAGTAGATAACATCCCATAGCTTTGAGCTTTAAGTTGAACTGATATCTCAACTCCACAAATATCAAGACTCTTGTATAAATCTGCCATTTTTAGACACCTCTTGATGCCCATGTTACGATATAATTTATTTCCTTGGTCAGCTAGGCAACAAAGGGTTTTGGAATTTTAATAACTACAAGACTTTGCCACAGAGTAACACATTGCATAAAGCCCCACACCCCACAACAGAACATTGTTTGCAAGAGTAGTTGTGTTCTTCTCTCAAATTGTTCACTCTAGTTACTTCATATGTACTAATCTGCAATCCTCTAAGTTCATAATTGTCACTGAGGGAGTGTATAGTCTGGAAATACTGTACTAAACCCCGAATAGATGGTACTTCTAATAGTACACATGTACCTGAGGGATGGCTTCTACCATATTCATCTCTTGCATGAGAGTAAAATATCTTATAACTCCCATTATCAGTATGATAGATACTGACACCGATACATTCTATTATCAGAATAAATGAAGAGTAATTTTGTGATAAGAGTGATTCAAAAGCCCTGTCTATAGACATACTGTACTGATATCCCTCAATTATTGAATTACAATGATGTAGATTACCAGTATAGCTTTCACTATAGTTAAGCTGGTAGTTTTCCTCAGATAAAGCAATCATTGACGGTAATTCAGTTTGCATTAAATATACCTGCCCTGTACATTGTGACAGTGTTGAATGCAATTGATTACCCATCTCCAAAATTTGTATTAGGTTATCACAGGTATGTATTCCTTTTATCTTATTATAAATCAAAGCAATCAAACTCATAGCAACACATTGTTTTCCAGCATTTTCACCAAAGTACATAATATCACCTCGACTATATGGTGCCTTGATTGTTAGAGTAGGATCAATACCATATATAGGAGGCCCAGGATTTGTTTCAATGTCATTACACAGATTCAGTGTAGCACAATGACCTCTGTGGCTCGCATTCTTGTACACACTTAATAATGTATTACAGCTATACAAAGATAGATATTTGCCCAAAGACTCTCGACAACGCGACGATTTTCGATTCAGTGTTGACCGTGTAGAATGCCATTTTTTTCTCATCTTTTGTACAAACTTGATATTGTCATTATTGCTCCTTGTTCTAAGTCTGCATTTGACGTAGCGATACATTTTTGACAAGACAGGAATGTCTTTAAGAATTCGCCTGCACACTAACTTCTTTATTTGTTTGTTTTTACGAGAGAACTTTTCTAGTTTTCATACAGGTATTCTGCTGGGCTCACGATCGAATCGTCTTCGCACATGGTAATCACCATTGTTAATATTACAACGATTAACAAACATCGCATAACGAGACCTAAATTCTTTTGCATATTTTATTTATTTTGCAACATCATTTTGTTGTATACACAACGCTGATTCGCCACACTTCTGTTCTCTACATGGCGCTACATTGTCCAATACATCATCACATTCATTTGACACCACTTCGTTTGGTACCAAACAAACATTCCTGCTCAACAATACGCAGATATAATATACGCACAAAAGCGACAAAACTAATGGAACAAATGGAAAAAATAACAGCTGATAATGTACTCTGTTTGAACAAAAACATAACGAATGTAAGCTTAATAATCACGATAGAGGTCACATAAATATAACAATTACGTTTATCTTCACTCTGATGAAAGTCCAACATGGCATCTTTGTCGTCGTTTCCTAGAGTTTGATAACGAGGCACCTTGTCTTTATCAGCAAATTTTCTTCGGTCATTCTGTCCACATTTTCTGTTCACTGATAACTCATTTGATTTCTGGTTTGATTCTAGTGAGACCTTCGCTAAATCATATGATTCTTTTGCTATTTTGAGTTCACGGAACGACCCGTTTCGAAATATACGCTCATTACACAAGTCATCTTTTAGAGTGGGTCTACCGCGAACGGTGTTTGGGTCTGTATGCTTGAGCGTAGAAAAGATGACACCATTCGCCAAGATATTCGACAAATCCGCCATGTTCGACATGATGGAAAGAAGGTTGCGCCTTCATTACGTGTTTGCGGTATTCCCCATTGCACGTGACGAGGCTTTGTGGAGAAATCCCAATAAACCTATAGTCGGTCGCCCGACTAAAAACACATGGATATCAAAACGTTGCTTCACAATCTTCGCGAGGAAGTTTCGTGCCCAGTGTGTACCAACGTGTACACTGATCCAAAGCACCTTCCATGTCTACACACGTTTTGTCTGCACTGCTTGAAACACTGGCACACAACAAGCCATGGCCGAGACACAATCAGATGCCCAAAGTGTCAAGCTATTAGCAGAGTACCTGAAAGTGGCGATTTGAAAGATCTTCCCACCAGCTTTTATCTGAACGGCTTGATTGATGTGTTAGCAATTAAAGAGTGCAAAACCAGCCAAGTACGATGTGGAAATTGCGACAAGAAAAGCCCCGAGAGTTCTTATTGTTTTCACTGCTACGTGTTTTGGTGTGACGAGTGCATCATTGGACACAACATCATTCGCAGCTATAAAGATCATCGTGTCCTGGCGCTCAAAGACTTTCAAGACAAGGACTACGAAGATGTGATGAAACGACCTACTTTCTGTCCTAAGGAAGATCATAACAAAGAAGAGCTAAAGTATTTTTGCAAAGACTGTGAAACGCCAGTTTGTCAAATTTGTGTCACAATAGAGCATGGTGGTCATAAGATAAAGTTAATCAAAGAAGAAGCCGAGAGACAAAAGACTGAGATTAAGTCTTTCATAGAAAAACAGCGACACAATTTACAAGCAAAGATGGATGCCATAAGCCGACTTGATGAAAAATGTGTCAAACTGATACAACAAGGCGAAGATGTGAAGAGAGAGATTCAAACATTTGTTGACAATTTAATTGCTGTCATTGAAGCAAACAAGAAAAACATATTCGCAGAGGTGGAGAATGAAACAAGCAAGTCGATTGAAAGCATAACAAGACGAAAGACCGAGATCGAGCGTCAAATGACGGCCATAAAATCATCTCTGGAGAAGGCTGAGAAACTTTTCACCCGAAGTACAAACGCTGAAATCGTCCAACTGAAGAAATCATTAGACGCCATCTTTGAAGGAGTTCATCAAGCTGAGCCATCCGACTGTGACCCCGAACTTGTGGCTCATTTTGTCTTCGTGGAAAATTATAAGTTGTTCAACACTGTCAAAACCGAACTGATTGGAACTTTGAAAAAAGGAACAAAGGCAAGTCAGTGTGTCGTTGAAGGCAAAGGACTGGAGGAAGGAATTGCTCTCCGTGAAGCTCACTTTACTTTGACAACAAAGGACACCGAAGGAAGACAGTGTTACAATGAAGGTGACCATGTAACGGTGGAGATCAGGGACGAACAAGGACGAGAATGCACGTCAGAAATACAAATAAATGACTGTAAAGATGGACTCTATCAGGTCAGATATTGTCCCAGAGATCCAGGAAAATGTCAAGTGGCTGTAAAGGTAAACGGAGAACATGTCCGTGACAGTCCTTTTGCTGTGCAGGTAACACCATTTCAGTTTAAACCTGTACTTTCTTTCGGGAAAGTGGGCTCGTCCGAAGGAATGTTTAGTTTTCCATGGGGGGTAGCAGTAAATGCTAAGGATGAGATAGCTGTAACTGATCGCGACAACCACAGAGTCCAAATATTTAACTGTGAAGGGAATTACTTAAGATCGTTCGGTCGGCGTGGTACCAGAAAAGGAGAATTTAACTCTCCCTCCGGAATAACATATTATAATAATGAGCATATTTTCGTAGCAGACTCTAGGAACAATAGAATCCAGATTTTTAGTGGGAAGGGTGATTACGTGGGATCCTTTGGTGGGACAGGAAGCCTTGATAGTCAGCTCAGTTGTCCCCGTGGTTTATCAGTAGGCAGTAATGGGAATATCATTGTCACTGAATCAGTTAACAGGCCGATTAAGATCTTTTCTCCTGATGGCAATTTTCTAACGAAGATAGAAGAGCATGGCAATTTTACTCTTCCTTTCCACTGTATTCAATATGAAAGATATCTCATAGTGTCAGACTATGGTGAACATAGTATCAAAGTGTTCAGCAGGAAAGGAAAGTTTCAGTACAAGTTTGGAACGAAGGGTAGAGGGGATGGGGAGTTTAATAATCCCAGTAATTTGTTGGTGAACAAATCAGGTCATTTGATGGTCTGTGACGAAAATAACCACAGAATACAAGTATTTGAACTGAATGGAAAGTTTCTCGGCAAGTTTGGAAAAAAGGGTGGCAATTTAGGAGAGTTCAATAATCCAACCGCCTTAGCAGTTCTTAGAAATGGCCACATTGTTGTCTCTGACTCTTTAAACAATCGTATACAGATAATGGAATAGACTTGTTCACATTTGGAGTTTTTTGCCAAACAAAAATCAAACAATACATAATTTAGAGTTCAATATACGTTATAGTTCAATAGTTATGAATTACAGGGAGGGGAGGGAGGGGAGGGGTGAATAGTGGTTCAGAAATTAATTTTAAATTCTGCCTCCTTTCAACCCGAACATTAAGTGGTGGTTTTGCAAAAATAGGAAGAGACTAACCAAGACTATTAATCAGTCTTAGAGAGAAGGTAGTGGGCTGGAATAATCAACTGTTTTTGTAGCATCAAACAGCATTCTTAGGAATGAAAGTGGAGGTGCACATTTTGTTAGTCTGAATGAAATTCAAGTTTTTCAAGTTTAAGCAAAGATTATTGAGAAGCACTTAGTATTGGTTACAGTTTAAGTGTCTGTTTAAATGATATTACACGGTAGTTAAATGAAAGTATAATGCATTAATGACTGTTAATTAATTTTGAAACAATTATTGTCTTTTGCATATTCTAATTGTAGTAAACGGATTTACAACCGTGCTAATTGTAAGATGTACTTTCTCATTAGGAAATTAAGCTCAGCTGAAAATCTACTGCTAGAGTTCGAATCGATGAAAACTAATTTAGACTTTAGTACTATTAAGAACTTTCAGCTGGTTATACACGAAATAGTTCAACGGTCATAGGAATTTATGTACCATTCTTTACAAAGACTTTTTGTGTCATTAAAAAAGTTACGAGTTATGTCAGAGCTGGCTCGATGATTTGACTCTGATCTGTGATGATTATTGATAATTAATAAGAGACGAACTTTTATCATCAGCTAGCTTGAAGAGGAAAAAAACATGGTAAAGGGAAGCTAGAAATGAAATTACGTAAATTACAGTATCAGGGTAGGAAACAAATACAGTGCACAGATAAAAGGGGTATTTTTCTTAGGATAAAGTATCGTCCTGTAGAGCATCTTAAGCCCTCTCCCATCAGCACGTGTCACGTTAAACACTTCGAGGTATTTAATACTCTGGCGAGATTTTGGAACCAGAGTTAGGTTCGACGAGATTCTAAAAGTGTTAATTACGACGTATAATGACTAATTTTTTACCAAATGAAACACTAGTATAGCAGTAAGAAACGAAGAAAAAACTGTCGATAAAAAATCTTGTCAGTTTTCAACGATTACCTACTCTAGAGGTAAATCTTGTGAGAAGGCATTGACATTAAAGTGGGCGAGTCTACGAGTCTGATCAGGTCACGCAAGGAGTTCCGCGCTTCTTCATTCCGTTTCACAGGCAATGGATCCATAATAATGACATGTCTTTTATTTAAACCCGTAGCACTCGCAAATCCACTGTAATTAAAACAGAAAAAGAGACTTATCCAGGATGACGCTTCCACGTAAAAAGGAAACCACTTACATTCGAAACATTGCACTACGTTTCTTTGTTCACTGTTTTAGTTATGGCTCGCTGCTCGAGAGGGCAACGTGGATATAATCCAGTGAAATGCAAAGCCCAATTAGCTAAATTCTCTTCAATGAAGTTTGCGTTAGTGAAGCTCCTACTCTCTCAGAAGCCACATGATAAGGAGAACTAAATAACAAATGTCAGCTAAGTAGCACTTCATAAGAAATCAGTCTTCTTAAACAAACAAAGCCAAGTTTCAGTGTTAGCAGATACACAGTCTTAAATTTCCTCCTCGCATCAACACATGAACAAACTTCTGTCAGAAGGTCAAGTTATCTTTATTCACTCTCTTAATAAGGCTGATTTATTTTAGGCCTTTGCTAAATCAACTCTTCTTCTCTACTCATTCTCAGAATGAGTTTATGAATGTCTCTCTCTAGTGATCTTTGATATCTTCAAGTTTTTCGTAAAATGTTTCAGCCAAATAAAGAACTGAGTGAAAAATCACTTCACATTCCTTAGAATCAGGAATCTAAGACAAAATTATAATTTAAATGTTATTAGGATTAACAACGTTTCATGATTGGTTTATACACAAACCGTGCTGTCAAAACAAATAACTTATTCCCAGAATAGCTAAAACAAGAAAGTCACCAGGCCTCATTGTCTCAAGTTCAATTCCGAGACTCTCGAAAAGTCGCTTGATCGAGCGTATGTTCAGTTCTTAGTGAAAAACACATGGATATCAAAACGTTGCTTCACAATCTTCGCGAGGAAGTTTCGTGCCCAGTGTGTACTAACGTGTACACTGATCCAAAGCACCTTCCATGTCTACACACGTTTTGTCTGCACTGCTTGAAACACTGGCACACAACAAGCCATGGCCGAGACACAATCAGATGCCCAAAGTGTCAAGCTATTAGCAGAGTGCCTGAAAGTGGCGATTTGAAAGATCTTCCCACCAGCTTTTATCTGAACGGCTTGATTGATGTGCTAGCAATTAAAGAGTGCAAAACCAGCCAAGTACGATGTGGAAATTGCGACAAGAAAAGCGCCGAGAGTTGTTATTGTTTTAATTGTTGCGTGTTTTGGTGTGAGAAGTGCATCATTGGACACAACATCATTCGCAACAATAAAGATCATCGTGTTCTGGCGCTCAAAGACTTTCAAGACAAGGACTATGAAGATGTGATGAAACGACCTGCTTTCTGTCCTAAGGAAGATCATAACAAAGAAGCGCTAAAGTACTTTTGCAAAGACTGTGAAACGCCAGTTTGCCAAATTTGTGTCACAATAGAGCATGGTGGTCATAATATAAAGTTAATCAAAGAGAAAGCCGAGAGACAAAAGACTGAATTAAAGTCTTTCCTTGAAAAACAGCGACACAATTTACAAGCAAAGATAAATGCCGTAAGCCGACTTGATGAAGAATGTGCCACACTGATACAACAAGGCGAAGACGTGAAGAGAGAGATTCAAACATTTGTTGACAATTTAATTGCAGTCATTGAAGCTAAAAAGAAAAACATATTCGAAGAGGTGGCGAAAGAAACAAGCAAGTCGATTGAAAGTATAACAAGGCGAAAGACCGAGATCGAGCGTCAAATGACGGCCATAAAATCATCTCTGGAGAAGGCTGAGAAACTTTTAACCCGAAGTACAAACGCTGAATTCGAAATCGTTCAACTAAAGAAATCATTAGACACCATCTTTGAAGGAGTTCATCAAATCGAGCCAACCGACTGTGACCCCAAATTTGTGGCTCATTTTGTCTTCGTGGAAAATTATAAGTTATTTAATACTCAAAACCAAACAAATTGGAATTTTAAAAAAACCAACAAAAGCAGGTTATTGTAATATTGAAGGCAAAGGACTGGAGGAAGGAATTGCTTTCCGTGAAGCTCACTTTACCTTGACAACAAAGCACACCGAAGGAAGACAGTGTTACGATGAACGTGACCATGTAACGGTGGAGATCAGGGACGAACAGGGACGAGAATGCACGTCAGAAATACAAATAAATGACTGTAAAGATGGACTCTATCAAGTCAAGTATAGTCCCAGAGATCCAGGAAAATGTCAAGTGACTGTAAACTGTATTACACAGTTCCCTGTATAAGATCATGCTGTTTTAGAAGTAACTTTTAGGAAGAGTCAGTAAGACCACTTTTTATTCTCCGTATTTGTTCGTGACTCACTTCGCTGGGAAGAAAAAATTAAAGTAATGCAGGAGACAGTTTTCATTACTGCTTTGTCTTAAGCTAAGGGGAATATGTCATTAACTTTTAGGTACGAAGACAAAGGCTTTTATGTAAATCATCAGTGTGGCCTGCAGATTTCAGTAGTAGAAAACATAATACAGTAATCAGAGTGTGTTTATCTGTTTTGTAAGAGTTGTCTTTTTTGGAAATTCCAATATTGTAGTGAATAGATTTACAACCTTGCTAATTGTAAGATATTCCACTACTTTTTCATGAGATAAGTTTCCACCCTTATAAAGTATAGTTTCTGAGAATAACTTAATTTTTTTCCAAATTTTATTTTTTTTTTAACCGCCCGCGAGCCTGAAAATAATGTTTAAAAAACACGAAACGGAATTAACAGACAAAACTATACAAACAAGACCTATCAACTAGTGACAAATTGATATGCAACGTGACTGTTCGTGACACAATTCTACACTTCCCTTTCAGAAGCAACATAATAAAGGGGAAGGAAAAATCCCAGCATAATAGTACTTCACCAAAAAAATTAGTCTTCGTATACAATAAAAGCCAAGTTCAGTGTCAGCAGATTTCTCTTTGTGAAAGACAAGAATAAACGTCTGGAAGAAGGACAAGTTATCTTTTTTTCCTCTCTTTGTAAGATTTATTTTAAGCTTTCCTTTAACAAATTGCTTGGTTTACGGCTACAAAGTCTTATCAAGAGTCATCGTAACCATAAACCCAGGGCTTCTCTTCTCTTTCGTAGAATTCGTGAAGTTAAAAGTCCACGGTTATCTCTTCTAAGTGATCTTTAAAAATTTCTTCAAGTTTTTCGTGACATGTTCCAGCCGAGTAAAGAATGGTGAGCGGGTCAGTTTCACATTCCTGAGAACTAGGAATACAAGGAATCGTTCTATAGGTGCCAGCTCAAATTCAGTCTCAAATTTCCCTCTTGCGTCAAAACATGAATAAACGTCTTTAACGGGGTCAAGTCATCTTTCTTCGCTCTCTTTGTCAGATTTATTTTAGGCTTTCCTTTTCTCTTAAACAGGTTTCTGGGTGTACAGATGTATTGACTCTTCAAGTGTCATTGCAGCCATAAACCCAGGACTTATAATCTTTTTCACAGTGGAAGTCTATCGTGTCTCCTTCTTGTGATAATAATACCTTCTCATTTCTCGTGACAGTTCCAGCTGAAGAACGGCGGGCAAGTCACTTTTATTTTTCAGATAACCAGGAATCCAAGGAATCCTTGATTAAAGTGTTTCTTGTATCATGAAAGTTCTGTGATTGCTTTATTCACAAACCGGCTGTCAAAACAACTAATTAATTCTTCCAAATGAATCATGTTCAGGAGTTTAATTTCCGACAATGTTTCGCTATATTGACAGAGATAAACACTTTTTTGTGGGTTCTGTGTGTGGTATAAACCGAAAGAAATTCACCTCAGTGCCGGTGAAAGTGGTGGATATCAACCTCCACTTCCATGAACAATTTTCAATGAGCCAAGATAAGACAAGTTATAATATACGGGTGGAAGGAAATTAGGCCAGAAACGAAATCTGATATTGTTTTCCTTTCAGTCTGAACACCTGCAGTGTTAAAAAAACCAAATAAAAAACAAAAAACAAAAATCAATTTGGAATGGCCGAAACGAGACTATTCATTAATCACAGGGGGAGGGTAGAGGGCTAAGAAAGTTATTTCTATCAGTGGCATTTGTTCTCAAACAATTAACATAAACGAAAAAGAAAAGTGACGCGGGGGAAAATTTACGGTTCAACTTTATCTATTGAGGAATATGTCAATAACTATTTTATAACCAGCCAAAGGCTTTTGGTAAATGTACAAAGTCTTGAGGAGAGTCTAATGTTTAATAAACCTCATATCCATTTTGAAATCACTGGTGACCCTTTTAATCTTATTGGCTCTCATTGGTGCAAGTTATTCACGAATTGCACCATTTTATGCTCTAAATAGCACTTTTTTTCCAGCTAATGAGACAGTTTTACTAAAAAACATAACAACCAATCAGATTTCAAGGCTTGTTTAAAGGAACCCATCACATTGCAGGAAAATGAAAGAATTATTTTTTTTTATAAATTAAAACCAGCTCAATACTGGATCAATAAAATATTAGTTCAGACTTAAAAATCCTGTATTTTAGCAACTGAATTTTGCAATTTCAAAATGGATGCAATAAAGTAATAATTGAACTTGATTTCGTGCAATTTTGGTCTCAAATCATACTTGTGACTTCAAATCAAACTCGCGCTGCGCATTCATTTTGAAATCACGCGCATCACTTCAGACCAAATTGCACTCCACTCAGTTCAATTACCTTTATCAATCAGACTATATTAATCAGTTTTGCAGGAATTCTCTTTCTATTCTTTTCCAACTGTATCGTATTTAAATTAGAAAAACGTGTTCTTGTAGTTTTCATACCAGAATTTTGCGCCACAGCCTGGGCGACCTACTTGATTGAGGTCGAATCCACCTTAAAGTAGGCTGTTGTACATGAAAGAGTCAAATATCACAAGACTTCATGTGTTATTTTCCTTTCTTGCAACTTTTGTGTTATTATAGTAGCTATGAGTTGTCAGAGCTGACTCGATTATTTGACTTTGATTTAAGATAATGGTTAATAATCAATGAAAGATGAGCTTTTCACCATCAGTTACCTTGAAGAGAAAAGTTTGGAATATTGGAAAATGAATAAATCTAACTTCAAAACAAGAGTTTTGCTAGAGTTTGCACACCACGTGCTTGAAAGTTCTAATTTCTGATTAAACTGTAATAAAAATAAGTGCGTGAGAGTCTACGTAATTGATAAGGTCACGCGAGGAGCCACGTGAGGCGTGTTCTGCGTTTCTTCCTCCCGTTTCTCGGGCTACTGATCTAAGCTCTAAAAGCTTTTAAAACATTTTCTATTTTCTGAGACCGCAGCTCCGGAAGGTACCGCGTTAATAGAACAGTAAAGACTTTTCCAGGATTATGCTTCCACCCAAAAAAGCAGTCTCATATTTAAAAAGTGCAACCATTTTGCAATGACTCTTTTTAAAGTCATTATATTGCCGCTGTCAACTCAGGGTTTCTCCTCTCTTTCGCAGATGAAGTCCATAAATTTCTTCTCTTATTATCAAGTTTTTGTAACACGTTCCAGTAGGACAAAAAAAAAGCATGCGAGTGATACAAATTTCCTTTAGAACGTTTCCACCCTTTCAAAGGGGAATATTAGTAGCACTCCATTGTGAATAAGCAGTCGCCTCTTTATACGAAACCTCCAGTGGTGAAACAAGTTATCATTAAATTATCAAAAAATGATCTAAAAAGTTAAAGATCGTTGGCATGATAGGAAAATAAGTATTAAGTGGGAGAAAAAAAATCGAAAACGATTATCGCCTGTTTTAAGAGGAACTCTTAGAGCGCTGAAATGTTGGATGTGTGACGTCACGCTCGGTGGGTGTGTGCGAGTCTGATCAGGTCACGAGTGGGGCCATGCGAGGTGTGTTTACGAGTTTCTTTCTCTTATTATGCTATAGATCTAGGTTTAAAAATATATTTTATTTAAGACCGTAGCACAATCAAATCTACTGTCAATAAAGGACAGAGGAAACTTTCCCAGGAGAATGCTAACTGAGACTCTTCAATACCCTCCTTGGTGAGGTGTCCATTCGTTGTGTCCTTCCAGTGATCTTCTCGTTTTTCGTGACATGTTCAAGCCGAAGAACGGCGGGCAAATCACTTTTACATTTCAGAGAGCCAGGAATGCAAGGAGTCCTTGGTTAAAGTGTGTCTTATATTAAGAAAGTTCTCTGATTGGTTTATACACAAAACCTGTTGTCATAACAAATAATTTATTCCAAAAATAGCTAAAAAAAAAAATAGAGCCACGAGGCTTCATTGTTTCGAGTTCAATTCCGAGAAAAGCTGATTAGTTCGAGCGTATGATCAGTTCTTAATAGAAAACACATGGATATCAAAACGTTGCTTCGCAATCTTCGCGAGGAAGTTTCGTGCCCAGTGTGTACTAACGTGTACACCGATCCGAAGCACCTTCCATGTCTACACACGTTTTGTCTGCACTGCTTGAAACACTGGCACACAACAAGCCATGGCCGAGACACAATCAGATGCCCGAAGTGTCAAGCTATTAGCAGAGTGCCTGAAAGTGGCGATTTGAAAGATCTTCCCACCAGTTTTTATCTGAACGGCTTGATTGATGTGTTAGCAATTAAAGAGTGCAAAACCAGCCAAGTACGATGTGGAAATTGCGACAAGAAAAGCGCCGAGAGTTCCTATTGTTTTCACTGTTGCGTGTTTTGGTGTGACGAGTGCATCATTGGACACAACATCATTCGCAGCAATAAAGATCATCGTGTTCTGGCGCTCAAAGACTTTCAAGACAAGGACTATGAAGATGTGATGAAACGACCTGCTTTCTGTCCTAAGGAAGATCATAACAAAGAAGAGCTAAAGTATTTTTGCAAAGACTGTGAAATGCCACTTTGCCAAATATGTGTCACATTGGATCATGGAGGTCATAATATGAAGTTAATCAAAGAAGAAGCGGAGACACAAAGGACTGAAATGAAGTCTTTTATTGAAAAACAGCGACACAATTTACAAGCAAAGATGAATGCCGTGAGCCGACTCGATGAAGAATGTGCCACACTGATACAACAAGGCGAAGATGTGAAGAGAGAGATTCAAACATTTGTTGACAATTTAATTGCAGTCATTGAAGCAAACAAGAAAAACATATTCGCAGAGGTGGAAAAAGAAACAAACAAGTCGATTGAAAGCATAATAAGGCGAAAGACCGAGATCGAGCGTCAAATGACGGCCATAAAATCATCTCTGGAGAAGGCTGAGAAACTTTTAACCCGAAGTACAAACGCTGAAATCGTTCAACTCAAGAAATCATCAGACACCATCTTTGAAGGAGTTCATCAAATCGAGTCAACCGACTGTGACCCCGAACTTATGGCTCATTTTGTCTTCGTGGAAAATTATAAGTTGTTCAACACTGTCAAAACTGAACTAATTGGAACTTTGAAAAAACCAACAAAAGCAGGTCAGTGTGATATTGAAGGCAAAGGACTGGAGGAAGGAATTGCTCTCCGTGAAGCTCACTTTACCTTGACAACAAAGGACACCGAAGGAAGACAGTGTTACAATGAACGTGACCATGTAACGGTGGAGATCAGGGACGAACAAGGACGAGAATGCACGTCAGAAATACAAATAAATGACTGTAAAGATGGACTCTATCAAGTCAGGTATTGTCCCAGAGATCCAGGAAAATGTCGAGTGACTGTAAAGGTAAACGGGGAACATGTCCGTAACAGTCCTTTTGCTGTGCAGGTAACACCATTTCAGTTTAAACCTGTACTTTCCTTCGGGAAAGAGGGCTCGTCTGAGGGAATGTTTCGGTTTCCTTGGGGGGTAGCAGTAAATGCTAAGGATGAGATAGTTGTTGTTGATAGTTACAACCATAGAGTCCAAATTTTTAACAGTGTAGGAAATTACTTAAGATCGTTCGGTCTGTCTGCTACCAAAGAGGGAGAAGTTAGATTCCTTGTCGGAATAACATATCATAATAATGGGAATATTTTCGTGGCAGACAATGGGAACAGTAGAATCCATATTTTCAAAGGGAAGGGTGAGTACGTGGGATTCTTTGGTGGGAGAGGAAGCCTTGATAGTCAGCTCAGTAGTCCGTGTGGTTTATCGGTAGACAGTGATGGGAATATCATTGTCGCTGATTCAGGTAACAGGCTGATTAAGATATTTTCTCCTGATGGCAATTTTCTAACGAAGATAGGAGAGCAGGGATTTTTTACTTTTCCTGTCCATTGTATTCAATATGAAAGATATCTCATAGTGTCAGACGACCGTGAACATTGTATCAAAGTTTTTGACAGGAAAGGAAACTTTCAGTACAAGTTTGGAAAGAAGGGTGGAGGGGACGGGGAGTTAAATAGTCCCAGTGGTTTGTTGGTGAACAAATCAGGTCACTTGATGGTCTGTGACGAAAATAACCACAGAATACAAGTATTTGAGCTGAATGGAAAGTTTCTCGGCAAGTTTGGAATAAAGGGTGGCAATTTAGGAGAGTTCAATAATCCAGCCTCTTTAGCAGTTCTCAGCAATGGCCAAATTGTTGTTTGTGACGCCTTGAACCATCGTATACAGATACTGGAATAAACTTGTTCATATTATTTTGTACTATTGCGCCGAACCAAAATCAGTGAATTAATTTTGAGTTCAACCATCGAATGAAAAATTTTGGAGATTCTACTTATTCTCTGAATGACCTTCTTTGTTATTCTCAACCTTAACAAATAGTAATTATTCAGAGAGTAACTAGGTTTAGCCAAGATAAGACTTTTCGTGATTTACAGGGAGGGAAGTGGGCTTAAAATATTAAAATTCGTTTTCTTTTACACCAGAAAATCTGCAGTAATTTAACGACAAAAATAGGACTTAGACTATATATTAATTACACGACAAGCGCAGTGGTCCGGAAACATTCATTCAATCAGTAGCATATTATATCAAACAGATAGGGGGGGAGGTGAACATATACATTTCAAGTGTAACTGATATTACACAGTTCCCTGTAAAAGATCATGCTGTTATTAGAAGTAAGTTTTAGGGAGAGTTAAGCCCACTTTGTGCTTCTTTTTTGTTCGTAACTCACTTGGTTGGGAAAGGAAAAACCAAAGTACTGCAGAAGACAGTTTTCAGTTCTGCCTTGTCTTAAGCTAAGGGGAATATGTCCTTAACGTTTATATAAGAAGACAAAGGCTTTTTTGTAAATCATCGGCGAGGCCTGCAGATTCCAATAGCATGAAACATAATACAGTAATCAGAGTATGTTTATCAGTTTTGTAAGAAGTGTCTTTTTTGCACATTCCAATTGTAGTCAATAGAGTACAACCTTGCTTATTGTAAGATGTTCCACTACTTTTTCATGAGATAAGTTTTCACCCTGGTATAGATTACCTACTTGATAGAGGTCAAATCCAACAAAACTTATTCCGACTCGCAATTGAGAACTTTCAACAAGTTATTGTATATGATTCATTGAACTATTTCGTATATATTTTCATAACACTTGATGTAACATCTTTTCGAGTCTTTATGTATTATTAAAGAAGTTATGAGTTACGTCAGATCTAATTTGATGACTTGAATTTAAGATAGTGATTAACAATCTAAGGTTACTGTCAACAAAATAGGGTACGTTCCGGAAAAATCGTCCTAAGCGCGCAACTATAAAAGAAACCACGGAAAGCTATATAACACTATAAAGCTTATACAGTGTAGATTCTGAGAATAACTAGGTTTTTTTTCTACTTTTTTATTTTTTTTAGGTGCGCGAGAGCCTTTAAACAAAAAACTTACGGTATTTACTTTACTGAATTACCAGTCTCCACGTTACCGCCGACCTCCAAACAAACTAGACAGTATCATTCAGAAGATAATAGGCTAACAAATGGTTTGAGGCTTTTTCGTTGATCCTAATGGTTCTTGAGAAAATCTATTTTGAAGTTGGAAAATATTTCGGTTGTTGTCACGCTCCGGGACGTCACGAAAGACTGAATATTTCGAATTTCGTAAAAGCCTCATACCCTTAAGAGCGTGGGCAGTTTTCATGAAAATCGTACAAATCTACACATCCCATAAATTGGTTTAAGAAGAGGTTACTCTTTAAAAAACAAACCTCGAGTATTTGGCCTCTAAAGAAATTCACAGTTTTCGCACCTCATTTAGGTGCATGCCCATGCAGTCGTGCCGCCGACCAATAAAACGCAACATCGAACCCTTGCCAAGTCTCGTGGAAAAGAACTCCCTTCCAATTCGCGGGAAGGTTCTTTCGACTAAAGAAAAAAAAAACGAGTTTACTAAAAATTAAACGAAATCCCAAAATTCAACGGGAAGAACATAAGGAAAAGAGGGCAATGCAAGCTAGGGAAAAGAAAACATCAACACTCAGGTAGAGGCTTTTCGCTCTTGGGTACAGATTCTCTTTAACCATATCAGAGTAGAGAAAATGTCGGGACCTTATATATCCATTTAGATCACTGATCACTTCACGTACACCTCTGCCAATGTCATCTACTGTATAACTGGCACTTATTGCAAAAAGTTATACATTGGTGAAACAGGATGACGACCAGGTGACTGATTCCGAGAACCCCATCGCGACGTAGAAAGAAATGACAAGGACACATCCAAACCAGTCGCTAGACACTTTAATCTCCCTTACCATTCTAAGCATCATATGGCAGTTTGCGGCCTTTCCCCCTAGTTCGGAAAGCCGCAAAACTCTAGAACAAAAATTTATCTTTCAATTCGGCACTTTTAATCTCCACGGCATCAAAGAGCGCTTTTCATTCAAGTAATTTATTCTTGAATAAAGGAGGTAAGTTTCTAAAGAAACTGTGCTGCTGCGTCGGTGGAAGAGTGTAGCATGTAATTTAGTGTTAACAACTGAGTTGAAAACGTAAATTGGTCACCGTAAAGAGTTAAAAGGCTGACGTTTCGAGCGTCAGCCCTTCGTCAGAGCGATTGGAATTTATTCTTGTTTTCTCGTCACCATACTCCCACCAATGGCGTAGCTCTATTTTCTGCATATAAACACACACAACCTACAATTCCTCCAATCGCTCTGACGAAGCGCTAACACTCGAAACGTCAGCTTTTAAACTCTTTACGGTGGCCAATTTACGTTAATAAATTACCCTGTTCTTAAGAAACAGATCAGGCTAAAAGTAGGAGCTTTGTTTTATTCTGTGGTGTGTGATTCACTGCATTAAAACGGGCTTTTACTAGGCAGCTCCATTTCCTAAATTCCAAGTTATAAATTTGCGCCAAACGCGGAAGTAACATTTTTTATTTCCGCTCAATAAGATACCCCTTTCTGCTCTTTCATCATAAAAATTGTGTTTCGTTATCTCTTAATTTATTAACACACCTGTCTGATGACAAGTCTAACATTGACGAAATGTCACATTAAGAAAAAAAAAAAGTAAAATTAATAAAGGCTGCCCAAATATACATAGAAACCACTAGAATAACAAACATTACCCCATCAGTTTCAACATTTTTTTCAATATGCGCGTATCATTTTCGTTATCTCTGTTTTAATAAGAAAATGTCAATCTTCCTCTCCATTCATCATTTCTACAAATAATTTACAATTTCATTAAATTCTATACAAACTTTTCGTTACATAAATTATACATTCAATTACAAATATCGTCAACAAGGGAACATGTAGCCCCTCCCTTCCCCTGAAGTATGCAAGTATATTTGTCTAAGAATGATCGTCTGTGGCAAAAAGCGTTCGTGTCTTGATCTGCTGTATCCTCTAATTCCAGAACGTATCCTAGCAATTGCGGGTACAGTTAGAAGCGAATGTAAGAGGGATTTGTGTAAAATGGATGCCGTCCAATCAGTTCCCAGCACCCCGAGCAACAGCAAAGAAGTCCCTTATTCAGAACCGGACTATTTCTCAACTAAGAACCATAATAAAGCACCTATGGGAGGCTTCCGTGAATCATGCACCAAAGTAAAATGAGGACAACATGGCGGTATCTTAAACGTGTTCACTTCCAAGCACGGTCCATTATTTTGAAATCACCACTAAAGTATTTGAACAAGGCTTTGATGAGAGGTACACGTCTACAATGGCCCCTTAGTCAAGGTCACTTCCAAGCCCTGTCCATTTATCAGGGACCATAAGAAAGTATCTGTGCATGGCCTCAGTGAATCGTGTCCTGTACAACTCCGGGGACACTACTGTAGGCATTCTTCCTTGGCCTCCAAGAATGCCGCTGGCTTTTACGTACATCTCCAACTTCTTATCCCAAGTGAATGTTCGAATAAAATCTAAAGAACAGAAAAGTGCATGAAAAAGATCTCCATTTTCACGCACAACTTGTCGTGCATGTTACGTGAGCATTATGTAAAGAAAAGCTGAGTCGAACGGAATTCCATCAATTGTATCGAATTGACTGAGAAGCCGAACTTCGCGTAGACCTGATTTACAGAATTAGATAAGGCTTAAGTGGAGTACGGCGTCTGCACCGGGCCTAAGCAGAGCTGTTAATAAGAGTCTGCAGTCGACCAATACTGCCGGCTAGTCTGCCATTTTGAACCGGCTACTTTCATGTCATTTAACTAGGATTGCCGAAGAAAAATCGTACAATTGAAATGCTATCGAAGAAAATTGTACAGCAGCCATTACGCAGTTTTGAGTGGGATTAGATACAAAATTTACCAAATGTGTGAACAGGGTCCACGTTCCGAATTCTTTCGAGGGTTGCGTGTAAGCTTCGTGGAGCGCTTTGGACATTTTAAATGAATAGTTCTCCGTCTTACTCGAAATCTGAAGAAAGTAAATGACGTTCACATTGGCCTTGCTTGTCTTCTACTTTCATACGTTTTGACAACCCTGCCTAATGCTGTCCCTTTTTACGAAGCTCTGCCTGACTCACCTATGATTCCGGTGACCAGTTCAGACCGGGCTTCGTCTATGCCTACCAACAGTGAATAATCCATCACCATCTGCTGAGCAAGGAACTCGGTGTCGTTGTGAATAGCACGTGAGAGAATGGCTTTGGAATGCGGGCGGATAAATATCGGGCACTCACGGATCACTGGAACAGAAAAAGGAGTTGAAATTAATTTCTGTATAATTAAACAGGGTGTTGTTTGTCAACGACTCGTGGAAAATCCCCAGCGACAAATAGAAATTCTGCAGATACCAGAAATGTTTCTAAGTGGAAAGGGCAGAACGCATGCGAAAAAAAAAAAACGCGCGAAACAAACTGTTAGTAGTTAGCACGAGAAATATTCCTCCAGCGAGTAACCGCTGAGAAAGAGCGGGAAACGTGCCAATAAAGGCAGGCGCGGGAAGAATACAGTACTCTGTCAGAGCCTAAAAGTCCAAATAGAAACTAACGTGATTTACAAGGGGTTACAACTAGTTAAACGGTAAATTTACCACAAAAACCCATAAAAAGAATCGATTCAGTCCTCTTTGACTCACTTTCAAGCAGGTTCTCGTCCAGTAATACATCGTTCTTCATCCCGGAAGTCTGAACGTACCGGCTTCTCATGGAACCTTTTAAATCGAAAGTCTGAAGAAATAAAGCATTAGGCGTCAAGTTTCAGATAGAAAACTTGAATTAATTCTTGCGACCAGTTAAGACTTAATGTCGCAAAAAGGCAACTTTGAAAGAGTTCGAGCTTAGAGATCTATGGTCCCACCGAATGGTGAACAATTTGCGCAAATAAAAAAAAAAGGAAAAAAAAAAAGACCATTATTGTAAATTACATGTCGTAGATTTTTCTATTTTATTGGTAAGATACTCCAGTTTCATACCTTGTCGATTTTGCGGTCGTAAAACAAATTTTCCATAACAAGCACATCCTGTCTCATCGTAGCACCTGTCTGTGAGTTCTTGTAGCCAATCCTGTATATTCCCAGGATCTTTGCCAACAAGGTCGGTCGCTATCAAGAAAACAAGAAAACAATATAAATCCATTTTCTGATGCTATGCGAAGGAAATTTACTACCAGAGTGCAAAGTATGAAGTGCAAGTAAAGTCATCGTGTTGGGTAACCCCATCATCGCTTTTTAAAGGCAGAGGTCTGCACATGAACAGAGTAACTCATTCTGCGAGAGCGCAGACTGGGCTCTATCGTAGTTTTACTCACCCCCCCCCCCAGGATATGATGCTACTCAAGCACAATACCTCACCCCCCCCTCCCTTGGGCTTTTCGTTGGTACCCATCTACACCTCTGAGTAGAGAGAGGAATTGTGGGAGCAAATAATCTTCTCCATGAACATAATGTAGCGACTCCATTTAGGCCTCGAGTCCGGATCCCACAACGTTACCACTGCCCCACCACGTCCCCCTACCACAACGTTACCACTGCCCCACCACGTTCCCGTACCATACCTGTTCATCTAGAGCTTTATTGATGTAGCAGAAGTAGTGTGGTGCAAACTCCAGAAAACACTGCAACTCCAGTCTTGACATCTGCTTCATGACAAACCGGTCATCTGTAAAGTTATCGTTGACACATTACCAATGAATTCGCAATTGTGTGGAGAAGGATCTCAATTTTCTTTCTTTAAACCTTATTTTCGACTCATCTTCCTTAGTGCAATGTTGCACTTCGTTTTCTGTGTTTGAGCAAGGTTGAATGAGAGACGAGGGTTAATGAAGCCAACGGCAGTTCAGATGCCAGATGTATTTCTTCTTGAAAAGCGGTCATTTTGTGAACGTTACAAATAAGCGTTAAAACATCGAATATCCGACTCGAAATAAATCGTCAGGAAATAAAAATAAAATCCAACGTGACCGCTGCGGATAGTCGGAAATATCTAATCTAAATTAGTAGATTTCTTTTTTCTGTGTATCCATTTAGTTTCTCACCGAATGACTTGAAAAAGGCAGATCCGGATTTTCCACCACGTGCTCCCCATGAAACTGAATGCTGCAGGGAACGGATGTACCTAGAGGATATAATGTGCAAAAAACTGTCTGCACTGGAATACCTTTCAGTTGCAAGGGAGGGGAGAATGTGGGTAATTTTCACCATGCTCTAAGCTTCGATGATCGTCTAGCAATTTTGGCAAAAAAAAAATGGCTGTAAGCAGGAAAATATCAACCAAAACCGTAACCCTTTACACCCTAATATTAGTATTCATATTCTCCACACTGATCTCTCCACATTTCCTGTGCTACTAACAAGGAGAATTTGTTTGACAATCTTTAGCTTCTTAAATTGGTGATCATTTCCATTATTCTCATGACCTTAACATTTAATTCAAGGGTGATACTGTAAGAAGAAATTAGACGCCAGTCCTTTTAGGCGTTGGCTAATATCTTGCAGAATACACACAAAATATCGGCAATTTCACTAAGACAATTGCAATCGTGCAGCTTTCATATTTTGCAGTCAAAGAAATTTGTCTTTCTACTTTGTTTAATAATAAAAACAAAAGGGCAGTTTCCTCCTGCGCAAGGTGCCACACGAATCAGCTTCAGCAATGGTGCAGGTATCAATGAGGTCAAGGAAATGCAGCCGACTAAAGTTAAAATGTTAAAAAAATACAACCAAGAAAATAAACGACGAAGGAAAAAAACATCAACGTTATTAACTTACTTCTCCTCGCCGTCAGGAAAGATCCTCTTTCGCAGAGATCTGAATTGCTCCGCGTAATAGATACTGCAGTAAAATCGGCAAGTACTGTCAGCAAACTCTGAAATTAAAACAAAGATGAGCTTTCAGTATCCCCGATAAAGGCATACGTTTTTTTAAGTAAAAAAAAGTCTAAACCAAATAGTCTCGGAAAACGTAAGAGGAAAAAGTTGAAACAGTCACGCGACCTGCCCTCGCTTTCTTTTGCGTGACCCGTCAAGTAAAGATAGCGTGACGCTCTCAAGCAGTCGTTTAAGCTCTGAAACAAGGCTCTCCCTGTAAAACAAACGTGCAAATAAACGAGCAAAACTTTCTTACGGTGCTTAACATGAAAATCCACAGCTGGGTTTGCATCCTTCCTTTGAAAGCCAAACTGCAGGAGTCCTAACGAGAAAGACAGAAGATCACAAACATCAAATGAAACTAGAAAAACGTCACTATCGGTCAACTCTTCCTCAATTGTGTTTCCATTGCGTTTCACGGGGAGGTTCTCAAGATCAAATCTCGACGACTTAAATAGTCCATATTCCTCTTTTTTAATCAATATTGTTCCCAGGCTTCTTCTTTTTCCCCCTTTTTTGAACAAGATACAGTCAGAGTATCTTCCTTCAGCTTCCTCGTCTTTGGAGAATATTTCTTGGCACCTAACTAACAAGCATCTTCCCCCTCCCCAAGAACATCGAAATACTTTTATGGCACCCAGCCGTCTCACTCGTTCACGAAAAAAAAAATCTCGTTCATTCTCACCGATGTCATCTTGTGCTGGAATGTCTGGCGGTGCGTTATTCTCCACCTTCTTTGCGTCGTCCTTGGGACAAGGGGCGTTGTTCTTCCCTTTTGTAAACACAACTCTCTCCACTTTTCGGTGTTTAGCATGTTGGGTGGCCTGTGGCTCAGGCTCTGCGTGGAATTCTTGACTCTTGCTCATGAATTCTAACTTTTCTTTGGCAACAGAAGGCGTTTCCCCTTCTTCTCCCACTGCCAATCCCGTTTCGGGATTCACAATGTCTAAATGCACATAACCTGAGCGAAAGAGTGCTTTAGTTAGCGAAGCTGTGGGGCCTCAGACGTAGATCGAAACTGCTCTTACTGGTTTAACCCTGTACATTCTAACATCAGTATGCATATTCTCCATACCGATCTCTATACATTTCCTAATGTACTTGCAAGGAGAACTTGCTTAACAATCAAGAGGTTCTTCAATTAATCATCATTTCCTTTATTCTCATGACCTTAATGTTTGATTCATGGGTGATATTGGAAGGAGAAATTAGATGCTGGTCACTCTCGCCGATTTAAGGGTTAAAACGCTGGGCGATATTCATTCCAGAGCCACTCTGTTCAGAAGCCCATTTATAGAGCCCTTACCCCTATACCATGTCCTGGAGACAACACTTTCCCGATTAAATATATCAATAAAGTTATTTTTAACAAAAGGGGAGGTTTAATACGCCACAAAAAGTTTCATTAACAAATCTTTTCGCCTTCTTTACAAACTGATGAAGATAAAACGCCGTACAGAACTACTGATATAAATAACTTGAAAGTTTGCTCATTCTCTTTTCCTTGAAAAATGTAAATCTCCTCAACGCTTCACGATCCATCAAGTTATCGATTAGATCACGTTTTCTGATACTCAGATTTCCCCAGCTTAAAAAACCGGAGAATGGATAAAAACAAAACAGTAGAAGAAGAGGCTGCATATTTTCACCCTGTCCTCAAATTTGTATCACGAAGTTCGCAGCCACACAGCGAAATATGGTCATTTCCGCGAGAAGAAAGCCTAGTGATCAGGGACCAATGTCAGTATCCGAGTATCCGTTGACCCTTCCTTGTTATCAGTTGGGTTAGGGGGAGGGGTAGGTACGCATTTTCTCAAATACTGACATTGATCTATCATTTCTAAGAAAAAAAAAATTACCTTCTCCCCCCTCTGGACTGGAATCAACTCTAATGAACGTCTGTGTACCACAATGACTGCCCAGATGTGAAAGGCTTTTGACAGATAAATCTCCAGTTTTAATGACGTCCCTGAAATAACGAAATTGTTAGAACGTTAGCTCTGGCGTGCTTGTTAATGACGCGCTTAAAATGAGACATTAAGGAATCGTTGCCTGAAAAAAAAAAACTTGTCAAGGGTGGGCAAACGTGTGAATGATTGAAAGCGCGGGAAGAATTATCTTGGAGAGCATAGAAACACGTGAGAAGAGAAAATGTGGGAAATTGCGTCGCTGAGGTGAACTTAGACGAAACTAAGACTTGAATAAAAGCGCACAAAGACACCGAAAACCCGAGGCGCCAGAAAAAAACGAGAGACTGGAAAGGTGTTAAAAAAACCTTGTTAAGTGTTGCTGTTCTTGTCGGTGATATTGCTCGATTTGAATGATAAAAGAACAAATAGGCTACTCTAAAAAGATTCCTGTAAAGACGGCCTAGAAACGGAGCAAACACAGAAATTGTTCTGTGAAAGAGATCAAGTGAAAGAACAGCCTTCCATGAAAATGGGCTCTTTAACAAATGATAAAACCTTACTATCTACGTGACACTATTTCCCTGACTTGTCACACAACCTAGATTGACTCGGAAGTGACTTGTCATAAAATCTTCTAAGCCAGAGGGAAGAGTACCGATAATACAAAACAATCTATATTCACCCTTTGCCCTGTAAGTGTTCTCTAGCTGCCCCGTTCTTGATCTCTGATAGTGTCTGCTGAATTTGAAGCAAGCGTTCGTTGTATTCCTTTGTACTGAAACAAAATCAAAGAAACATTTGATCACGCATGGTCATCGTAAACCAAACCAATAAATTTCATGCACGTTTAATTGTTCAATAAAACAGTTGAGCCAAAAGACATAATCTGCGTGAAACTAACTTTCCACATAGTATTCGCGTGGCCGCATTTCAGAAATGAAGTTTAAAACCACCTTACCTCAATACTACAACCCCTTCCCTCAAGAATAAGTTCAAAGTTCGCCAAATCTAGACTAAATTCCCCACCCCCCGTAATCTCATTCAAAATACAGAAATACACAATATTAGAATAAAGAGGAGGGGGGGGAGTTACGAAAGGGAAGTGGGGTATACAACTGGTTCCTCTATACAGAATATTGCGAATCTCAGTGGCAACAAATTAATAATTTTGAGGAGGATATCAACTTTTATCAAAGCAAATTGGTGAGGTTTAGTCATACTTTCAGGGATAACCTTTTCTAGACCTACCACCCGTCACACGTGTTAGACACAAAGTTTGGGAAAACCGAAATTTCATCTGCACGCTATGCGTGCCTACTCACGCGTCTCACCTCAGTGTATAAGCTATGATGGAGCTAGTCTCTTTCTCACTCACAACGACGAGAACTTTCTCCCCAGGGGGGAGGAGGTGGTGTTCGTGACTTGGACTGTAAACAAAACATGAAAGTTATATGTCAATATCAATCGTTCTTCCTACATCATCTTTTTTAGAACAGAGTTGTTCAACACACCACAAAAAACAATCGTCAAGTAGAAATATAATCACCGAAAAAAACACTTGAACTCAGAATAAAAGATGTCATCTCGACTCTTTGCCTCGAAGATCTACACATGAATTCTCCTCAATATTTGTCAAATACTATCCCTTATTGAGAGTTTTCTTAATCTCACTGCCTTTTAATAACAATGACTCAACATCATAAGAAGAAATTCCTTTTTGGACACTCTAAAGAGTGAAGGAGTCAAAGGTGCTAAGCATTTGCAAGCGACGTGTAGAACTGTCTTAATCAATAAGCAATAAGAAACACGTGTCTTCTGGGCCATTGTTTTCATAATTCTGCGCAGTTTGCCTCTCGGCTCTTTTGATAACAAAATTTTTCGATTGTCAGTAGTGACACAGCGGCTTCGTGCCAGCTACACAGTTAAATATTTATTAAGATGACAGTTATATCCTTTTCACCTAGTGCACAAAAGCTTTTAATACATCAGAAGCTTAAATTTGTGTTGCAATAATAGCAGTCAGTTGTCTTTCTTTTTTAAACAAGATGGTTCAATTACAGTTACAAAAGAGAGGTGTATGAGAGGCAACTTACAAAGTGGACGGTACTGGCTGAAAGGCAGAGCCGGACATAAATGATGAGATGATGTTTTTCACTTTCTCACGCTTGCTGGTTCCAACTGATGCTGCAAAGACAAGCCTCACTTTATACCCTCATAAAAAATCTCATCAACTAATAGCGGAGAAAACTGCAATGTCTTGCCCTCCCCCCCCCCCCCTCCGCACAAAAGAAAATGGTTTGAAATTCAGGGGGGTAAATTCTTCAAGGATAAAATAATAGTAATGAATGTACACAGCCTTGTTAAAGTAAACCAAGTTAAAATTACGGTGATAGACTAATAGAGGGCTTGAGGAGTAAGGTTGGTCAGCGGCATACCGTCTGTGGCAGGCGTAGCATCCGGGTCTCCTCCATCTGAGACAAGAGCTGTTGACAGGAAATAATTTCAGAAGACTTAAACAGAACACAAAACAGTCTATATCTGACGGTAAACTGCAGCAAATAACAACATAATCAGAAACAATTGAAATGAGCCATTCAGCTCGGGAGATGAGCTAGTGTTAGGGAGTAATGAAACATGGTCAGTTTACGTTTGTTAAGATGATACGATATCTTTCTCATGGAAAGTTACATCACCTTGTTTATCCACGGTAAATTATCACTAGTTAACTTTGTTCAGCAGTTTTTAAGGTAACACTGTGACTAACTTTGTTTAAATTTACTGGAAATCGTTTAATTGCTGAACAAAAATTAAGTCATTTTATAAATTAGCAAAATGTGACTGTTACAAGAACGTCAAGAAAAGCCGATCACAAATTGTTCAAAATAAGGAACTTTAATGGTATGTTTTAAAAATTTTACATCCCTACCCTTTTTAGCAGTCACTTGCCACTGATTAACCGCCCAAGATTGTGAACGAACAACACCTTTGAAATAAAGGTAAATAAAAACAATTTTATATGGCGGACTTTTTTACTGGCCATGCGTATCATAAAGATGACTGTAGATTTGACAAGTTTAATGAAACTTGACCGCTGTTGTTGAATATCGTAACTCCAAAGTAAAATTATTGAGCAGCCACAATTACAAGAATCGTTCGTCTTGCGAGTTGTGGATAACTCCTTTTGGTTTTGCTCTGAGACGTTCGATCGAAAATTCAGTCGGGGACTACTGAGATTATATTCCCCCAATAGACTATAGGGGGAAAGAAATTCGTGCTAATGTGCGGTGTAAAACGGTAATCACCTGCTTCAATGAGAATGACACAATAGGGAAAAAAACAGCGAAAAAGTGTTGCCCGTTTTACACCGCATTTCATCCAAAATGTGGGGAGAAAAATCTGGAAAGCTTGAATTGTTGGGGGGTGGGGAAAGACAAGTTGGCGGGTCATCCAGCGCCCCAGTACTCCTACCCAAAGTAGTTTGTCCTCTTTCCAGATCACTCTCAATGTATCAACTGAGTTAGCAAGAAATTCCAAGATCATGAGTGGCGGACTTAGTTATACTTTGGAACAAAAATACAGTCTGTATAGAGTGTAGGATTTCCGGGGAGATTTTATATGCCACTGCTCTCTACGTTTTAGAGGTTACACAGGTAAAAATTTCATGTCATGGATGAATGACGTATGATAACACAGCGACTGGAGATCAATCACGCATACTCGCTCCAGCCCTACCCTTCTTTGGTGAACCGCCCTGGTTTGTAGCCCCCACAGACTGGGCCCTATAGAGACCTTGAACAAAAAAAGTTTCAAATATATCATTGGTCAATGGTGTCGAACGCCAAGCTCAGGAATTCGCAGAGTGAGGTACGCGTGAAGAATTACAGAGAAAAAAGGCTGTTACATCCAAAGTCAAAGAGATGAGGCATTCATGCGGTTATCGCTCATTATATTATTTTTTGGCTCATGAATACGCAAAGTGAGGTACTTATAGAGACCTTCAAAGAGAGAACTCTGTTAGAACCGAAGTTGAGAAGATGAGGCATCCTATTTTTTCTTTTGAGAGTAACAGCCTTAAATTTTAGTTGTTATTCTCGACTATTTGGAAATTTACTGAAGAGACATTCAGGGTGAGTTTAGAATAAAAGAAACTATCACAAGAAATTAAAATTGGTTAAATAATTCAAATAAGATTAAGCCGATTATCCAACTAAATTAAAGCCTTTCTTTGATGAAAAGCTCCTCAATGTTACATGGTCATCACCATAAAAATTTTTCGTTTCCCATCGGAATTGCTGAGGCTTGGGTTCAGGACAACAGGGTAATTAAGTATTATCAACTGAGTTGATAATGTTAATTAGCCACCACAAGCCCTTTGTCAGGAACAAAACAATTGAGCTAACCATATCATATCAGCTGAACACATCAGAATACTTCTTTGACTCGTCGCACTTTCGAATTTTGAAAAGCGCATAGGATAATACGCTGTTTCAACAGTCTTTTGAAAGGATTATTGCCAGCTAATCTGACGAAGGGCGAACGCTCGAACGTCAGCTTTTAAACTCTTTACGGTGGCCAACTTACGTTATCAACTCAGTAGACAACACTAAACTACCCTGTTATACTCTTCCACCGAGGCAGCACCACAGTTTCTTTAGAAACTTACCCCCTGAGTTCAGGAGGAGTTCAGGAGAAGCTCAGGTTACTGGAGAAGAAAGCGTAGTCAAAGATGCGCGTCCCCCAACTAAGTGTCTTCCTCAGTATAGCCCTTGCTTTTCGAACCGAAGTGATAATTACATGCTTCCACTCAAAAATCACAAAGAAAATTTAGTTTAGCATCAAAATTTTGCTTGCCAGATTATGTTTTTATCCTTTCCGAAAATGGAGCCGTGAGGCGATGGGAAACGAAAAACAAATTTTGTGGTTATGACCTCAACCTGTGTTAGATAAACATTATAAAATTGAAGTTAAAATCACCAGTCCAAAAACTTTAGAATCATCGTATGACGATTAAATGGCGACAAGGTTTTCTCTACCCGACCAGTGTCAAGAGCAAGCTACCAGCTTTTATTAATTCGGCGGTTACACTAGCACTCAATAGCGTTTGTTCAGTAGTTACTCAACAGCATCGTAAATGTTGCTCATACGTTTTGAAATGTATGTTAGAATTATCGAAGATTAAAGACCAAAAGGCAAAGATAGAATTCGTAAGACGTTGCATACGTATGCATAAATAAATAAATAAATAAACAAGTTATTAAATACAAAAAATGGTTCTCAAAAGGTCTACCGTACCACCTATTTCAGGAAAACTAAATTCAACCAATCAGAACAAACACTCTACAAAGTGAACCAATCAGACACAAAGGAAGATGAGGCAACGTGCGCGAAACGGAGCAAGATAGCGCAACGTGTGCCACTAAAGCGCGGGAAAAAGATGGCGCGGAAAAAAGATGACGCGGGAAAAAATGGCGGTAGCGAGTGTGGGACAAACTTTAATTTGTGCCAAGAATGACAAACATGCAAATAACGAGGGACGATGCAGAACACAACTTGCAGGGGAATACAGATTTAAAACGAGAAGCAAGATAGGTTGGCTTTATTCCCAATTGGTTGACAAAATTTTCATGTGTGTTCTGATCGGTTAGAGTTACATATGCAAGTTTCGGTCATATACAAAACTGGGTAAATGCAAAATGACATAGAAAAAAAGAGCCTGCTTTCGACAGTAGTGACGTGCGGTTTAACGTAAAAACACAAAAACATGTAAATCGCTAAACAAAAACAATCACAGAAAGAAACATGACAACCAACAAAACAAAACATGAAAAAAATAATTAAGATCATGCGAGCTATGAAATCAAAATTTTCTAGACGTGTACGATTCACTTCAGTGTTAGGAAAACCAAAATATATTACTTTGACTGATAAGATAAAACCAAAATGTGCAGATTGCACTACAGGGAAAAAAATGATCAAAGATGGAGAAGATTAGTGCCACAATTTCATTCATAATTTGTAAAGTTGGAGGAAAAAACTTTTGGTTGTGAAGCATCCTTCTTCTTTACTTTGACTGAAGACAAAGTTAACCAGTCTCCATCGCGGATTAAATCAGTACCAATCCGTTCTCGCAATTAACATTTTGCCTATGTATTTATAATTTTCTACACAAATCTTCCAATTCCACAACAATCGTATTTCAAAAAACACTATTTATTTACTCACTTTTCTTGTTAAAAGCTGATGGTATCACTTTTCTAACTTCGTGCGTGTTTCGTTCACCACAAGAGTCATTTGCTTCCTTTTTCTTAGCTGTCCTGTCTCCTTTTCCACGCCAACCTGCATCGGTTTCATCTTCAACCAGATTCTCTAAGTTGCTTTCAGTTGACAACTTATCGCAACATGATTACATAGAGACAAGAAATAATGATAAAAAAGTTAACATGAAGTAAATTAATAATCGTAATAAATCGTAATAGGATCGAGTGGGGTTCAATTGGATCTGTAATCGTAGGAGTGATCAACAAAATCATACAATCGCGCAGAGGCAGTCTGATATGTTAGTCACGAGTATGATTACGGACAGAATTGGACAACACGATACCTTGTCACTAATGAATCAAAAGTTTACAAAATTTCAGAAACGAAACACTTATTTGTTAAGCACATCCCAGATGGAAAGACAAAATATGACTGATTTTATCTACGAGAAAATGAACCCAGTAGTATACCATGTACACTTCTGGGCCCAGTTGTATAAAGGGCGGATAACGCTATCCAACGGATAAATCGCTATCCAACGGATAAATCGCTATCCAACGGATAAATCGCTATCCAGCGGATGGGTAATAGCGAAACATATAGCGTTATCCACCCGATAGAGAGTTATCCAGTGGATAGCGTTATCCGATCTTCGAACAACCTGAACAGCCTGTATAGTCCCGAGGGAAACAGTAAGTTTTTTTTTTCCCCAAGAGTCCTGATGTTTCCCGAGACGAAGTCAACCAATCACGGTGCTCGTTTTGTTGAGTGAAAAGTCTCTGCCTTATCAGGCTTCAATCAGGCTGCTGATAACAAATCACGTTCAAGAATTTTGTTAAACTTGTGATTTACTGTTGTTCCAGTAGCTCCTACATCATTAAAATTTTGGTATAATTCAGTATTTTTTTCGTTTATCAAACCCTTGTAAATCCCAAGATCTGATCTTCAATTCTTCCCTCTAGCTACATTTCCTTGTAGATAACTAGGAGAATTTAGTGTTACATCGGTATAACACCCTCTGGGCGATAAGCTCGTTAATTCTCATCTTCTTTTTGCTAAAAAATGTATTGATATTTGTAAAGAGGATTTGCATCTTGATCACAAGAGAGCAAACTTAGATGTTTTGAGCATTAACTCACCACAGACTCATTGGGGTCTTTTTTCGCATGTGAACTTAGATCAGAGTCACTTCTGCTCCTCTCCACACAGTTTACAGCACTGGTAGACTTCCCCTCCGGAACAACTTCGTTTTCCTTCGATAATACAGCAATGAAAGGGGGGGACGACGCCACTCTGCGATGACCACGTACGAAAGTCGTTTTTAACGTTTGTGTCTCAGTTCCCTGAGCTTCACTTTCTTCTTCCAAAGACGTTAAAGATTGTTCATGACTTACATTTTGTTTCCCGTCATAAGATGAATTACACATTTCACCGTCTTCGGTCTCTTTTTCAACAATATACCAAGAGGAGGTTCTGTTGCCTTTAAGGTGCAGTTCATTTTCAACTTTCAATGGTCCTCCACAACGTCCCTGCTCTCCTCCAGAGTTCTCTGTACAAGCACCCTTAAATGTTTCTGCGTCCATCTCATCTCCGAAAGGATCGTTTGCGTCTACCATATTGTCGCTAGAGGGACCCTTGGCCACTTCCGTCTTGCTATCATCAGGCTCCTTGGCGCCATACGTCTCAACCTCAAGATTTTCCCCCTTACTTTCTTCCACCTCAACATCCACAGGCCACTCTATACCGCCCACATTGACACCAGAAGGATCCTTTTCAGGACGTATATTCATAGCATCAACTCGAACATTTTCCTGGCCTGCCATCTTTACTTCTGAAGAATTCTTAGTTGGGTTTTCAAGGATAGCTGCCGCACCTTCGACTTCTCCACTATTTGATCTATCAGAAATTTGTGGTTCTTCCCGCTTCGGTACAACAGCCACAAAGGCTTTAATGGAGTCAGCAGGTCTTTCAATCCTTGAAACATCTTTGTCCAGACCCACCCTAGCTAGGGTCTCCTTTTTTGCCTCAGGCGTGGAATGTCCCTTAACCACACCTCCTACGGGTAAAATACCAGCCGTGGGGGAATCCCCAGGGGTGCAGGTTTCATTCTCCGGGTACTGAATGGGTCGAAAACCAGTTGTTGCATGGAGTACCTCCAAGTCTGTCTTATTCAATACTTCGGGTTCATCTTCGTTTATCTCAGGGTTGGGGTGAGGTGATGGTGATCTTGATCCCCAGGGGGTGAGAGCAGGGCTAAGATTACCGTCTGGAACACTGATGTCAGACGCACGTATAAGATCAGTCGATTTTGACAGCTGCTGTTCAGATGAGGAGAAATAGGTAATTAGATATTACACAGCGTCATTGTTTGCATTTAAGTTGAGTAGTTCATAATACCGCATAAAAAGAACTAACGTATTTCGAGATCCCCCTTACGTCACCCTTAAATTTCGTTGACACCCATCTGCCACACAATTTTTTCGACCTCCGGCGAAATGGAACTGTAAAATAATCCCAAAGAGGAAGTCGACGGGATTGTTCGATATTACTGACGGAACCTGAAGATAATTGTTTCTTTTTAATAGGCGAGGCGGTTACTAGAGCAACTGCATTTTTCTCCATTTTATCTGTTTTCCCTTTAAAAACATTCAGAACTCGAAGAAAGTCCATTTGGAAAACTGGTGCTATAGTATCATAATGACCACGCGGAGGGTAATTATAACAGGATATGACGTAATACTTTACCAATCAAAAAGTGCATATCTCTACAATTATCCGGACAATCAAAGTAACTATTACATTACGAACCCGGTTAAAGAAATTGAGCCCACACAAAACTTAGCGCCTTTATCCAGTAAACCTGCAGCAGAAAGAGAAAACCATTACCTCGGATACGGACTTTGCATCGCTTTGCATTGAAGACAACAGCTTCCCTTCTTTGTAAGAAGACGTCACGGATTTGATATTTTTCTTCTTTTCAGCTTGAGCGTATTCTTGTAACCTTTACATTTTCACGAAAATGGACAAAAATGCTTACATAAGTAACCAACAAACTGGTTCCCAGGGCCCTCTTTCTTCCTACCTTGAGAGGAATAGAGATAGAGCACTGGTAATGACGTTGAAGAATTGGGCAGTAAACCAATCTCTTTTCAATAGAATAATGTAAAAACGTGAAGGTTCTACCAAGCAAAACACAAAAGTAAATGTAGCAATCTTAACGAACAGTTCTTACGTGTTGTTCCAACTCTCTACAGCTTCACAAAGGGTTTTCTTGAGACTATTCAAGCTGTTTGCTATGACGTACTCTAAAGCCAATCTATCTTCGGGAGCCAGGTTTTCGCAGGTGCTCACGTCCTCTGTGGCCAGCGGATTATCTAGCTCCTGAAGACTGGCCGCTTTCTTTTCCACAATTTCAATTTGCTCCAGGAAACGCTTGTGCTCGTCCTAGGAAAGCCAAGTGAGACAGAGAGCAATGAATTAATGCTTTGGAAACATAATTTTATGGCGATACCAAGATTTTTACGAGTGCAAAATCTTTCACTAGTTATAAAATCAGCATTCGAGTTCTTTGAAAGAGAAACACAGGCATTCCATCCAAATTTAATGGTCTGTTGAAAAGTCTGAACTATTGGACAATAGATTCATGAACACGATCAAAACGTTCTACAATTCATTTCATGATTTCTGATAAAAAAAAACACCACCACAATATTTGCTGTAGCAAGGTTATATAAATATTGCCAGCAACGAAATATTGTCAACATGAAAAAAAGCAGTTGATCCTTAAGCGCCTCATAGACTATCTGTTAAAAAAAAAAAGTCGTATTTCGTAATTAGAAAAATTACTGAGTCCTTACATTGAGTATTTTAAATAACTGTTGTATTCTTGCTTGGCGTTCGGGCAAAATAATAGGGTAATCTTTCAGGGACTCAAGGCGGTCAGAAATCGCAGCAAATACTGTGTCACCTCTGTAAAACAAATAAAGGAAAGATTAACCTCTTTCTCCAAAGTCTTTCTGCAGAGCTTCCGCTGAAAAGATTTAAGGACAGAATGTCAGGGGTAATGAGATATCAGAAATTTATTTGGAGGAGGAAAAAACTAAATATACGTGTATGTGTGGAATACGTCTAGGGGTCTCCACTCTCCGTACGGGTTCAAGGGAGTCGCTGCCCAATATCGTTATCACTGTGACTCTGCATACCTCCTTACAAGGAAGAGCGGATCAAGTTAGAGACCTAACCGTGCCATTGTGTTGTGTTCTTGGGCAAGAAACTTGCCTCTTAAAGTGAATCTCTCCATAAAGGGGTATAAATCGATACCAATGAACTATTAAATGTAAGAAAATCCCTCAGGGGAGCGGATGAAACAAAAGGCGTAACACTGGTCACCTCATGCAATTAAAAACGAGATAAGCTCTGGGATAAATTGGCTGATAAAACCAAGTAAGTTCATTTGGCTGATGAGACATTTATTTCTACACTGATGTCACGTGATCCTACTTGGTTGTCATGGCACGTAAGTCGCTGATCCAAAAGCTGGCATCTCTTGTTTTTTCTTGAATAAAAATCTGTGGAGAGGGGATGGCTATCTCGAACAGTTTGATTGGGCGGTACCTGCGATAAAAACACAATAGTAAACACCCCTCTGGCAATATAAATTTGAGCAACAAGAAGAGAAATATTGAAACTGTAAAGGAAACGCATGAGAGGCTGAAAATGCCAATAGCCCGCGTGAGGGTGGGGGTGGGTGGAAAATCTGTGGAGCCCACTTGGGGGAGAGGGGTAACTTGTGGGGCCCACGTTGGGGTGGGAGGTAACCTGTGGAGCTCACTTGAGAAAGAGGGTTAACCCGTGAAGCCCTCGTGGGGGAGGGGCGTAATCTGTGAAGCCCACGTTGGGGTGGAGGGTAACCTGTGGAGCCCACGTGGTGGTGGGAGGTAACCAGAGGAGCCCACGTGGGGGCAGGGGGTGGTAACCTGTGGTAAACTAGTAACCCACCCGGGTGGAGAGGCAATATTGGCAATCGCTTCAAACTACAGGAATGGTCTCGACAGCCATGTGAATCTGAGTCGTAAGCAAACTTTTATATTTACCAAAATAAAACAACAAAAACGTACTTGAAAGAAGCTACCATGTTAGCATAAGCAAAGTACTGATAATGATCCTTGTGGAGAGAATGTCCGCATGGTTCCACACTCGCTCGGCGCTTGTAATTTCCTGCGTAAAATCTCAATTCCAGGTACTTAGCAAACGACAATGCCCATGCCTCAGGGGATAGGGGTACAATTGGCGTTACCTTGAAAAGAAATAAATAAAAACAAGAATTAAAATTAAGAGATATCAATCGCCAGTTACATAGTTACGAGCGCAGATGGGGAAACTTGGACTTTAAAGGCATATTGCAAGATAAAAGCAGAAAGATAAACAACTTTTCTTTTGTGATTTGCCTGGCTCTTTCTCTCGCTTTTCACTTCTTTTCGTTACATTTCCTTGTATTTCCCGAAGGAAACATTTTGGATCAGCGATAAACCCTAGAGAAAACAACAGTCTGTAAAGACAAGATCTGTCTGTTCATGTCATATTTTATCATGGGACGGGGCCTTCGAACCATCTTCCCCCTTGACCAGAGAGTAAGAAGTGACTTTGAATTTTCTTCTTTATCATTTCTCATTTTTTATCCTCTCTTTAAATCCTATTGAAATGAAGAGGCGTCACTCCTAACTCGTCAAGAAGTCAGCTACGTCCCGCACCAACTTCACATTTTTTTGAATTCAAAGCTTAAAAGATTTTAAGTACGGTCTAAAATCATTTTATAAGCTGTTAACCTGTTTACATTCTTTGCACCAGCTCCATGTGAGAATGGTGTGTTGGAATCCTGGGATAGGTGACTCTAGATTCCTCATGTGAATGTACACGGACCCAGTCCCATGAGCGAAGTACCTCACGTGATCCACCATGGGTATGTCACAGTTCGGGTTGGGACAGATGTAGGAAGGCCTGGAAAGGAATCCACGTGTTTCAAAAAGGTTCACACAGATATGCTGGTGTAAGTTTCTTTTTTACAATCGACCTTAGTATTTACCGTCATCTTTTCGCAGTTTTTTTGTTAGTACGTTTTCACTGGCGACGTAGTCGGAGTCGTAGACGTACGAGCGCTTTCAAACGAGAGAAAATAAAAAAAAATGGAGTCGCAAGCAATTGCAAGCAGTCGTAAGCAGAAATGGAAGAACCAACCAATCATAATTCCAGTTCTCGAGCAATCCGACGGCTTACGACTCCGACAGTCCACTCGTTAAGGAGTCGTTGCGGCATCGATATTTTTCTTCCGATTCTGTCGGTTTGATTTTCACTGGATAGTATCACTCTGCGTTTCTGAGTACGACTCCGTCTCCGCCGTAAGGGAAAACCAGCCTTAAAATACGGCATCTTAACTTCAGGAGCAGAACTAGCTCTTGCTACGAAACGGGTGTTGTACCTGAAGCAGTAAATCTCGAGAAATCCACCAAGGGTGATATCATTTCGTCCGTAAAACTCCATAAAGACGGCCCTGAAACAAGTCAACACACCATAGCAATTACAGAAAGTGCAAGACGTGACAGGAGTATGTTATGTTCCGTGTTACATCAAGACAAAATCAGGAATTTTCTTGCAATCAGAGGCCAGGGAGGGGAAGGGGTGTGAATGTGTGTGTGTGTGTGTGTATGTCTGAAGCGCGGGAAAATTCAAGCGACCAAGCGATTTACATCTGATTGGTTGAGAAGGTCCCGCCACTTTTGTCGACCAATCATGGAGCGGAGCCAAAGTATTTCTGTGCTACTCCCGACACTCGAATGAAAATTGCGTTACACGCGACAAAGACCTCACGTGTCTCATCTAGTTACTCACCACGGACTGATGCACGGTCGGGGTGAATTATTCGATTCGTTTGAGTAGCTGATGAATAACACAGCTATTCTCTGATGGAAATAAGGATCCAAACAATCCATATGCTGCAAAATAAAAATGTGGCAAATGAAGAATTACTCGAAAGTTTCAATAAAATTTTCCAAAAGCGGCTGCTGATAGTGTAGTAGGTGGATACGGCTGCGAGAGGTCTTACGGCGGGTCTATAGATCGCCTGTCACCGACTTAAACGAAACTTCCGTGATAATTGCCATATCCATCACAGATCAGTGACCAACGTACACGCGAAGCCACTGCACGCTTTTCACGACGGTAACCGCGTTTAAACTTTTACTATAGACGCGTTAAATGTGTGTTTCTTTTGCGTATTTAAAAAACATGTTAAGCATGATATGGCAACATTTTTGAGGGGTGAAATAAAACTACACCGACAAAATTCGCTTTATGAGAACTTTCACCGCAAATAAAAAAAATCAACTTAAATTCTCCACCTCATCACCACAGATAATTATACATTACAAGAACGATAACCTCACTTTAAGCGTATTGGAAAAAAATTTAATATTGATTTCCCAAACCTTAACTTTATTTTTTACTTGAGGACGTAACCGAAAACTACACACAAAGTTACCGATTTCGAAAATCTCACATCGTATAATCAATCATACAAACATTTCTCTTACCTTTCGATTAAAATGCAGTGGGCTCGTTGGAACAAACGGATCTTTCTTCTCTTTTGACTCAACAGTTTTTCCATGGGCTTTACCCTTTCCTTTGCGATAACCTCCCTGGATCTTGCCTTGCTCGGTATTCTTCTCAATCGGTGTCTTCTTGGTGAAATGCTCCAATACCTTGCTTTGACTCCTACGCACAGACATCCCATTTTTCGTCAGATGAATTTGCCCTCCCTGTGCGCGAAAGTCGGACAGTAGTGTTTGGTACACCATACCACCGGGCTCCAGAGTTAACGTCGCTGACAACAGCGGATGAGGCTCTAACTTGCAAACACGTTTACTTAGACATCGCTGGTGAGGATGCTTAGAAAAATCAAACTCCTCTAGTCCTTCTTCGGTCAAGGGACGACTGGTATGGTCCAACGAAAGCCTTGAAGACCAGTAAATATCCGGTGGAAGCGTGGATCTCAGAGCCATGTTTCGACCTGCTTCCGTCAGTAAGTACGGGATTGGATAGTCCAGAAACGGCGAACTGGACAGCACGGTGCTTTTCAGTGCTGTCATGAACAGATCACTTCCTTCTACAGTATCCTGCTGAGACGCTTTAGGCAAGTTTTTATTCTGTTCTGAACAAGATTCCTTGCAGTCTTCCTTCCCATCCACTTCATTTTCACGTACTTTAAACCTCTTTTCGAAATTCCTATTCGCCATTTCCCACTCTTCCAACAAATGACTGGTGTCAGGAGGCATAGCAAACTCATCCATTAGAAAATGCTGCTCTAGTCGTAAGCTGTAAGCAACGTACACCATATGTCGAAAGATCCGCTTCACTTTAGCCAACGCGAAACTGTTCCCGCCTCGTAAGTTTACTGTACAACCCAGATCAGCTGGGCAGCCTTCAATAAACATGAGTGTCTTGGACTCTCCATGCTGTTTAATACGACGTAGAGATCAGGAATTGTTTTTGTAATTTAACAACAAGTGACAAGTCTTACCTGTCGTTCTACATACAAAATCACTCAAGTTAACAAATTTAAAAATGCTAAGTAACTGAAGTAACTCTCTCCTTATTAACAAGTCAATGTTTTTCGCTATAGATTAGCTAATTAAGGAGCCCTTCGATCCAGCTCTTCTACTGTAACTCGACTGAGGCTTTATCAGGCAATAGCGGACAAATTGAACAGGAAATCATGATTTAAAAAAACCTACTTGTGGCGTAATAACTGTTATAAGGCTTCTGATTAAAAATCGAATTGGAATTGAGAGAGAGAAGGATACCATTTTTCCTGTGCAGTAGCATTTAATAACAGACAGCGAAAAAGTTGAAAAACGAACGATCCAGCAAGAAATCGCAGTCATACCTTTAGAGTGTATCTCTGTACCCTGAATGACTGACATGTTCCCAGTTGTGGCCGACTAAGCTGCTCCATGGAACGAAGAACATCAGCCCGTGTACATCTAGCAATGCGCTCAATCACGTTCTGAAATGAACAAATCATAGAATAACGTTTTGTACAGCTCCCCATGTACTATCAAAAATTCAAAATACCACAAGAGCCAATGAGAACTCAAAGTGGAAATAAGCCATCCACTTAAAGCGCGGGAAAACGCGAGAGACAACGTCACAATTTGTCTCAGCTTTACACTGATTGGTTGAGAGGGAGGCGCAAGTCTTTAGGATCAAGTACAGTCTAGAGGGGTGCTTATTGGAAAGAAGGCGCACAATCAAGGGGTTGGTAATTCATTATCAATTTTTTTTTCTTCAAATGCATCCCAATAAAGGAGTAGAATTAAAAGAGAAGCAAAAACATGGAGATAGTAAGTGACTAAAGAGAAAATGTCCTCTTGTACTGATTCCACTGCAGTTGAAGCTCAAAAAGACATAAATAAAGTGGCAATAGAGCCAAGTTTTCCTTGTATCCCTGCTATTTAAGAAATTGAGGTAGGAGTTGAGGGGCGCTTGTTTGAAATGATAGCCTTGAGGGTGGGCGGCGCCTATTTGAGAGGAGCGCTCGATTGATATGATAACCTTGGGGGTGGGCACTGGGGAGGAGGCGGCGCCTATTCAAGTGGGGCGCTTGTTTGACATGATAGCATTGAGGGTGGACGCGGTGGTGGGGGGGGGGGGGACGGCGCCGCTTATCCGAGAGGAGCGCTTGTTTGACATGATAGCCTTGGAGGGGGCGCTGAGGGGGGCGCTTATTGGAGAGAGGAGCGCATGTTTACCACAAAAGCCTTGAGGGTGGGCGCTTATTCAGGGGAGGGAGCGTATTAGAGCGAAGGCGCTTATTTGAGGAAATACGGTAAGAGCAATCGCTGGATAATCGTTTTTTTAAGAACTTACTGGTTTAACATTCAACACCAGTGTAATCCCCCTTTCTAGAAGATTTTCCTGCGCCAGACGTGAAACACTTTTCTCCACCAATAAGATATTGGGTCGTAAAGAAAGCACTCGAGCCACAAAGTTCTTAAGAAACTCGGATTCTTGAAGGACAAGAGGATCCAAAGATGCCAGGCGATTTTCATTTCGCTAAAATGGAAGACATGGGATCAATCATGCACTGCACGGGAAAAAAAGAACTACAATGATTTACAGAGTTCGATGTCTTTAACATTAGAGCTACACCTAATCTCCTGGTCTCAAAGTAGGTGTTGTCTCCAAACCTATATAACCACTTGTGCCATCTCTAAAAATGTCCGCCTGTATCAAAGTTTTGGCAAGCACCAGCACGATCAAAGATATTACATGTAGTTTCTCAAGGTAAACCAAACGCAACAGTCAACAAAACCAGAATTGCATTTGAAAATGTCATTAACCCTTTACACTATCACATCAGTATGCATATTCTCCATACTGTTCTCTATACTTTTCCTAAGGGGCTGACAAGGAGAATTTATTTGAAAAATCTCGAGCATATTCAGTTGGCGATCATTTCCTTCATTCTGGTGACCTTAATGTTTCATTCAGGGGTGATATTAAAGGGCGAAATTCTATGCACTCTTAGGGGTCAAAAGATTAATGGTGAATTCTTTTTGCATGTCACGCACCTGATAGTCAATAGCACACCTAAGGACCAGAATTTTAGGATTACTCAGCATAGAGGCCATCTTTTTATTCGCGATGTTCTTGGTGAACACAACTCCACTGATCATTTCACAGTCGCTTTTATTTCCACCAGGAATCTTTTTGAACTTCACATACTCACATATGTTCATATCATCGTCTCTACGAACATCAGGAGTCACCTGTGCAATGAAAAAACGAAAAAGAACGTATGATTGGACTAAACGCGTCCGTGTCTAGATAGAGCCTGCTCCAGGCGTACGCGACCCGACCCAAACCCCACTCGTTTTTTCACTCCTCAGCCGTTTATCATCGCCTTTTGTTTCACAGACCGATCGCCTAGAACAGGCTAGAGCAGATATGCCCGAGCTAAAACTGAGGACATCTGATGATATTTCTCTCAATTTCCAGACCTTTAAATGTCCAATAGGAGAATTTATTTAACAATCAAGGGCTTCTTTAGTTGGTGATCACTTCGTGTATTCTCGTGACCTAAATGCGCGATTCAGGGGCGATAATGTAAGGAGAAATTAGATGCTCACTGCCTTTTCTTTTTGTTACCTGTTCACTAATTCTCATTACAAGGGGTAGTATGGTATCTTTCCAATCAACTGATAGTCCAGCATCCTTCAGTAGCTGTTCCAACAGTATATTCAAATGGTAAGCATGAGAAGTCCTGAAAAAAAAACAACGGATTAAAACAGCAACGAGTTTTCTGGCGTCTTTTTTGGCAATTTCCCCCACAGTTTTTTTTTTGACGACTGAATTTTCACTCCCGACGAACTCTTTATAATGGGCGACTGCGGAAAAGTTGAGCGGGGAGTTCTGTTCAATTTACGCTCGTGTGTAGACAGAGGCACTTCCGAATTTAGAGTATTGTTGTAAAAAAAAACAGAAGACTATGGTCACCAATCGAACTAGACCTCCTCGGTCTAAATTACAGTGCGTTAAGTCTTGCCAGGAATCCACGTTACAAAAATGTAAGCAAGAAAACTAGTTAAGAGCAATTTTCAATTGAGCGTAGAGAGTGAAACAAGATTGCGATGGTTTTGTTTTACTTTGCTGTCATTGGTCTAAAAAACTCGCGCCAACTCCACAACCAATCAGATTGAAACTAAAATCAATCGCGTTTTGGTCACCTGCGTTTTCCCGCGCTGCAGGCACTCTGCTTGTTTTCACTTTGAGTTCTCATTGGCACCTTGTAATAGAGCGCTTGTTGATTGAGAGTTGTGTGAAACTAAAACCAAAGTAACCACAACGGCCGAACAGAAGAAAGGAAATATCTTTAAGAGCCAAAATAAAAACCAACCAAGAGCTAAAAGGGCGGGAAAATACAGGCGACCAAGTCGTGATTGGTTTCGGTTTTGAATCTGATTGGTTGAGAGAGTGACGCGAGTTTTTCTGAACCAATCACAGAGCAAAGTAAAGCAAACCAATACAATCTCGGATAAGTTTTGGACGCTCTATCGCGAAACTCTATCCAAAAGCACCCTTTCAGATTACATAGCTGTTCTAATTATTACCACGAAGGACGCAACGTACCTCAGCCGTTCCATGGCTAGTCTCTCTCCATTGTCTTCTCTGAGTTCGCCAAGTTCAGGTTCTGGAGGTCGGTCCACACCAATCTTTCTTGCTATCATAGCACCACTGAAGATCTCGTCAGGAGTATTACTGGTGCTCAATACCAACTCTTCTTGATTCTTCTTGTTACTTGGTCTCAAAGGGGTGTATGGGTACCCTTCATTGTACACATACTGTTCCAGTGGGGGTGGGGGAACATCAGTGATCAGGGAAAGCTGCGATGCTTTTGCTTCACCACTGGTATCCGGGGATGTTGTGCTAAGTTTTCCTGGCTGAGATTGAAGAATCAGTTTATCGAAGTAAGCGGAGGTATACATTTTAAAACAGTACTATATATATAACAAAGCTGGTAGCTTTAATACCAAATTCTCAGATCTAAAATTGAGAAAAATGTACGGCAAACAGTGTAGGAATTCATATTTAGCTCTTGGGAGCCTAAAGATTAAGTGCGCATACACACCTCTCCAAAATGATGCAAGTCAACCTTGAGTGACATCTCGCTGTTTCCACCCTCTGTAGCGACACCATTCATCAGGTCAAGGTCCAGTACTTTTGGTCCTTTATCGTAACCAAACAAAAATAATTGTATCAAAACTAAATTAAAATTGGATTGAATATCAATCAGATTTAGCAAAGGTAGGGCCTGTGCCAAGCCCTCAATTAGCATAGACGAGTAAAGTAGTCGGACGCAAGCGAATGTGGCGGTTTTTTAATGAAGCATTTTCTTGCTCGTCTTCCCTGACCAAGAGAAAGTAAAGGCCAGTACTGGCATACTTTCAAGGTGTCTTTTAGCCCACTGCTTCTGATTCATCCAATTGGAATTTCAGCTGGCTACGCAGCCAATTAGCAGAAATTTTACCCTCAGTCCTTTGCTAAAGAAATGTGGTCTCTTCTTGGGGATGAATAAAGATTGGACTCAAGAATGCAATAGAATTTGCCAAAAAACACCCAAGATTTTAGGGAATTTAAAAGGATAATTTTGGGATTGCACCATGATTAAATACAAGAAAAGATTGCAAACAATGCAAAGAAAGCAACCAAAATTTTTATTAGGGTCTAATTACAATTTGTAGGGGTTTTTTATGAAGGGAGGAAAAATGCTGACCCTCCCTGCTCCCAAAAAAAAAAAGAGTAAAGTATTGCCAAGGGTATTGATCAGAATACCTGTTTTATGATTGTTCAATTTTCCAGGTGCCTGAAAGATAAATGTAAACAGACTTTGGACTTGAAACCATATTCTTACCATTGTGGACAAAGTTTAAACCAAAAAAAAAAAAGAGTACCGCTGAAGGGTAAGCCTGTGTCACCAGCAAACATTATCTTCTCTTACTCATGTTTAAAACCACATTGAAACATAAAACTGCATTCATTTTCACATTTTCATTGATTGAAATATCTTCCAAAATCTACTAAAATTCAACCCTTTAACTCCAAGATCAAATTTGTAATTCTCATAACTGTCAACCATACAATTCTTATGATGTTAGTTGAGAGAATTTAGTATTGGATCAACCAATTAATCCCAAATTGACATTTCTTTTTATTCTCAACACTTATCTGGTTGATATTGTACTGATATTGTAAGGAGAAATTCTGTCTTGGTCACTCATGGAAGTTAAAGGGTTAAAACAAGTCACATCCAAAAATGAAGCCTTTTTGCAACATCTTCAATAAGACCAAACAATACAAGTAGATTGAGCATTCTGACCTCAAGCTTTTCAACTGAATAAAAATCGAGAACTTACCTCAAGACTGAAACTAGTGTCAAATTCTTCAATAGCCGATTCAACTCCTTGCTGCTCTAGTTGACGAAACCAGTGCGGCACCATTTCATCATTATCATCATCAACATTTTCAGGAATGTTTTGTATCTCATCACTCTCATTCAGTGGCTCGTTTTTATCACCAGATTTGTCTGAATCTGACCAGAATAAAGACGGTCTCTTGGTGGAAATCTCACGTGCTGCAGCCTTAAAAGATAAAGATGTAATTATTGAGGTGACACAATTCCTAGTGATCAAACAGTTCCATGCACAAAGAATGAACATATAAGAAACTACAAACACATGGTTCAAAACAAACTCAAAATGGTTTAACCCCTCGACTCTCAGAAGTGATTGACATGTAACTTCTCCCTAGTCCACCCACACATTATCCAGCAAACAGGTAACAAGAATGCTCAAACTTATTAGGTTAAAATTTTCAACTTGATTTAACAGCAAATTCTTGCACCAAAGTTGCAGGAAAATGATCAGAAGCTAGAGGGGAAAATTAACAATCAGATCTTGGGATTTAACGGGTTAAAAGGCCATCTTCCATGAGGCAAACCTGTTTGGTTGACCTAGGAACTGGACACAATCCAACCAAGAATCATCTCCTGCTGGTAATAAGAGCACGACTGGCAGCCAAGAACTTCCAGATTGAAAGTCCAAGGCCCTTGCTAATCTGCTCATTAATCATCTTTTTAGTCCTCTTAATTAAAACCCTTTTTTCTCTCTTGAGAATTACAAATCCACACAGCGCTTGGGTAAAAATACACAAAATGGGTACAGAGCAAGGTAAGCCATGTACCAGTACTTACAACTCCAGGCTGGTAAAGGATATATTCATCTTTGAATACTGCTCCCCCATCACGAGTGTTTGGAACAGGTTCCAGCCAGCCAGACTCCAGTAAGCCTTGTCCTATCATAACTGCTTGTTGTCTAAAGAAATTATATAAATTATAAAGGGGTTAAGTTTGTTTTAAAACAAAGGATTGGGACATCTTCATAATGGTCTATTTTCCTACAGGTAGTGACTTTTTTCTGTCATCTTAAATAGATTCCTCTTCTTGATTAACTATTTGTGAATTTCTACAATTTTAATGAGCTACTAAGTTAACAAAAAGATATTAAATAAATTTTTTCTATTCCCATAATTAAGTCTTAAATAGAAAACCTTCTCTTGCATGTTCTTCCAGTACCATTGAAACATTCTGACTCATGTTATTAGACTTGCAGTCACAGTCACAGCAACTACAGCCTGTATGTGGTATTCATAACTTGACATTTCTCTAACTTTTCATTTTCTTTCTTCCTTTTAAACTTGGAAATGATATTTCACATCCAATAACAAGCATAAAATAGAGAAAAATGAATAAAAGGCAAAAAAATGAAAATCCCTTGAAAATTGAACCACATTGCTTCATGTCTGATGTAAAAGTTATTTGACAAAGACAAAATCAATTCTTTTTTTGACTCCTTCAAAGAACAGAGCATAACATGAAGGGTTTTTGATTTCATTAATTATTTTTTTAATGAATCAGTTCTTTCAATTTTGCCTCAGAGTTAGTTCTCTGGTTTTAAGTTTCCTCAATTTGTGGTTTTCACTTTTTCCCTTTGCTATTGCAAGGTTTTCAGTTTTAATAAAAAAAAACATGTTTTGGTTATTGTTATTGGCAGGTTTTCTTTCCAGGTCCCCGTCATCTCTCCTTTGTTTGGATTAACCCCTTACACCCTAACATCAGTATGCATATTCTCCATACTGTTCTCTAAACATTCACTAAGGTGCCGAAAAGGAGAATTTGATTTGCAATGTTGAGCTTCTTTAGTTGGTGATTATCTCAGTTATTCTCATGACCTTAGTATTTGATTCAAGGGTGATTTTGTAAGGAGAAATTGGATGCTAGTCACTCTTAGGAGTTAAAAGGTTAATACAAGTTTTATCATTGCAGTTGTTATTGTTTTGGGTATTTTACTAATTCCTTTAGTCAGTTTTGATACAAATTTCCACTGGCTTTTGAAAAGCAGTTAACCCTTTGCATCCTGATGTATCATTATCCATATTCTCCTTACTCTTCTCCATATGTCTCTTTTGATACTGACAAGGAGAATTCATTTGAAGATCAAAGCTTCTTAGGTTGCTGATCATTTCATTTATTCTCATGATCTTAATGAATGGTTTAACAGCATTACTGTAAGGAGAAATTAGATACTGGTCACTCTTAAGTGTCTCAAACACCATTCTGGAAATTCTAAAGATCTCAATGTTAACAAACTTAACCCTTTCACTCCCAGAAGTGATTAGCATGTAAATTCTCCTCACAAAACCCATACATTACCCAGCAAACAGGTAATGAGAATATTCAAACCTATCAGGTAGGAGTTGCCATCTTGATCTAAAACCAAATTCTTGTACCTAATTTGTAAGGAAATGTGTAACAGCTAAATGGGAGAATTAAAATCAGATCTTGGGTGTTAAAGGGTTTGAGTAATCTGAAAGTATAAAGTTTAGAGTTATTTATTACTGTAGGGTTGTACCTTGTGGATGCCTTTTCATGCGTAAGGAACCAATCTACCAACTCACTTCCAACAAAACAATTTTGATAAGTCCTTAAACGAAACCTGTGACTCTGCAGGTCCAGCCCAGATCTTGGAGACATTATTTGATTCCATAATTCTCGGAAAGAATCCTTGATTGGCAAAGGTGAAAAATCAAAATTAAACGTACATTGTAAAACAAGACATTTCACTTAATATATTTTAACTGAATTAACTGCATATACAGAACCTTCCAAAGCAAATGGAAGCACAAACTCCCAGTAGCTTGATAGTAAGGAAACTAGTAAAAGGCCTAAGCATGATGCAACTCTGAGTTTTACCTCTCCCTCCTGAATGGAATGCTGGTTCACTGCAAGGTTACCCCCCCCCCCCCCTCCCCTCCCAAGCATATCATCAGGCATCCCTGACAGTCGGCCAGTACCCACTGATACTTCTGGGGTATTAGAAAAGATTTCATTATACTGCAGCAGCCTACATGATCAAAAGTAATCTGTCAACATTTTTCTCACATTTACATAATTTATCACATGCGGGGCAAAATTACTGAATGCTTATTGGCTAAGAGAGAGGGAATTTTGTTCTTAATCACAAGGACACTTTTGGTAATTAAAAGGGCATGATTACTGATGAGCCTTTTTGCAGTTTTCAGCAAAACATTGTTCACTGTATTTTGAGAATAAAATGTTCATTGAATCTGTTGGTCAGTTAAGTTTGTTTGGACATTTGCAGCGGCATTGAAAGGGCTTTATCTCATGGTCATCATGCGCGAATGCAATTCCCTAAAAATTTTGCTCTGTTTGTGATAAACAAGTAATTGCAAGTGCCCTCAGGCAATTAAGGATTAGTTTCACTTTTATTTTCAAAGTTTTCCTAAAATTGCCCTTGTTGTGACTTTGAAAATAGGCATGAACTCGATCCTTAATTGCCCTTGGGCCCATGACAGAGACACTGTGAAGGTGAGGTATTTTGCCTACGAATATAACACAATGGCCTGACCAGGTCTTGTACCCAGACCTCTAAACCTGCCATCCAGCACACTGACTGTAAGGCCACTACATGTGTCAACTGATGGAAACTTGAGACCAGATCAAAGGGTGCAGGTAACTGTTCATGATGTTCTGACCCCAAAACACAATTTTAAAATAACATTTATTTATTGGTTACCATGTATTATTCCAATGTCCAATTTACAGGTCTGCAGCCATCTAAGCTGAAAATTTTACAGGTTTTTGCAAATATTGCAAGTTTTTTTGTAGATGGTCAAAGATCTACACAAACAGGTTCCTAAATTTTCATGCTACAAGTACATTGTATGAGAAGTCGCCATCCAACAAGCTACCACTAACCTGCTTCAACATGTCAGCCTCTGCTGCACATACTCCAAATGCATCAAAAGGTCTCCTTCCTGGCATGGGTGATGGCCTATCTTTTGGTTCCAGCTTCTCATAGTAAGAACTCATCCCTGTCCCACTTGAGCTGCTGATTTTCCTAAGGGTTGGTGGACCACAGAAGTTCTCATCATCATCAAAATCAAAGGGATAGCCCTTGGGAACATTCAAGTTCATGTTGCTGCTGTTACTGGCACTGAGATCTGGATCAGAACTGATAGCACCCACGTCAGCCTGTAGCTGTTCCAGGTTCCGCACCGCATTTAAATCAGATGACTGGGTGTAGTGATGCACAACATTGTGACAGTAAATACACACCCTTAAAAACCCTGGCATAAAGAACAACATAATATTATTCCTAGACTAAAGGGCTAATTAAAATCATCAGAGGCATAGCTACTTAAAATATTGGCAACTGCATCACCCTCTACAACAGGGTGTGAAATTAATTTTTTTTCTAACAGCAACTTGGTTCCTAAATTTTCAAAGTGGCAGCCAATTCAAAAATAGTTGGTCACTATTTTTAAAGACAAACAAAACCTTTTTTCCTGCTGTCAGCATTCTAGATAAACCCTCCAGAATTAAGTTAGGAAAAAGATCTTTTACATGTCACAAAGTGGACACTAGAATGGATGATATACAACATTCAAGTTCACCTAGATCCAAGATGGCATCTAATCATCCATCGAGATGCCCATGCTGAGTTTTGGAAACAAACTTAACAAGGAAGTTTGCCGCAGATTTATCTTAAGTTTGCAAATCTTTTTAATTCACTATATCTCTAGGTAAGGTTATGATGAAGCATTCTAGTCACCAATTTGGCAACTAATTTTCAGGATTTGGTCGCTAAAGAGAAACATTTAGTCACATTGGTACCTGTATTAGGTGCAATTTCCGCCCTGTAACAAGAGGTGTGTGAGGGAACTAAGTTGATTATCACCTGAGTCTTACATTCATGATTAAAACTCATACCAATAAAAATTAATATAGGAAAGATGACGTCATGTGAGCTTAATTATCAAATAATGACAGCTACATGTATTATTTATTTGCCAGGCACATGGGATAGAGTCCCAATACTGTATTAAACCCTCAGACCTTCAGATTTTACAATCAGATGCTCCTCTTAATCCTTTAACTCCCAGATCAAATTTGTAATTCTCCTTACTGTCAACCATATAGTTCTTACAATGTTAGTTCAAAGAATTTAGTATTGAATCAACTAATTATCCCCAAATTGATATTTGTCTTTATTCTCATCACTTATCTGATTGATATTGTATTGATATTGTAAGGAGAAATTCTTTCTTGGTCACTATGGGAGTTAAAGGGTTAATAAATAACAGAGAAGTATTTGGCTCTGTGGTTTGCTATCATATATAAAATTTGAATGATCACTGATACATAATACCATAAATTGAATTTGGGTGTGTTACTTCCACAAAGTAAGTCTTCATTCACTGTTTTCCAAGTCAACATTAGAATTTTGGCTTTTGCTTTACCTTAGATCACTCTTTCATTAAATAAACATTAAATCAAGACTCAATACTCTTCTTTTTACCATTGTAACCCATGATCACCCCTGGAATCTCCAGATAACAACACCTGTAGCAGAATATCTGGCCACAAAGACGGCAATGATGCCGACGACGAAAAGTGTTGAACTTTTCACCACACTCATAACATTCTTTACAGTGGTCATCTGGCATCCAATATTGCTTGAAATCACTCTCTTTATACTCTTGTCGTAGCTTAAAGAAAGACATTGTGAGTAATTAAACTGTTGTTTTAGGCATTAGAGTTAGAAACTATCAGTTTATTTGAAACCAATTTCTTAAGGCCAAAATTGTAAGAAATCTATAAGACAATTCCCACAATCAACATTAGCATCTATGGAGTAAAAGGGTCAATTCTTCAGGATTGGAATGAAAAATTAGGCGAAAAAGTCACCAAAATGCATTATTGAAAAGTTCACAAATTTGCACCAAAGTCCTCTATAGGATTGCAATTTTTACTTTGCATCTAAACCTGTTTTTCTCTCTGAAATTCTTGCCACCTTTCCCATCTTCATAAACACAACACAATCCACAATTGACCTTCTTCCATTACCAGTGTGTTTGGCATGTTGGAAGACATGGTTCACATATTGATCAACCTTGACCTAAGTGCTCCACAAGGTCAAAGTCTTGGTGTCATTCAAGGCGCGTGAAACCCTATAGATGATCAAAGTCTTGGGTGTCATTCAAGACACGTGAACCCCCAAGGGATCCCTGCAATATTTCAATTGGTTTGTCACGCATTCCTCTCAATAACATTTGCATCTAGCAAGATCAGTGGAGGTGCGTAATTGCTGCTCAGATCGAGGAGAAACCAAAACCAAATAAAGTAGGTC